CCCCAGACTTCAGGGACCAGGTACTCAGGGGGGCCTCTTGCTCCTTCCGGCCAGGGCCAGTCCCATAGAGGACTGAAGCTCTGTGCTTGGACCTGGAACCCCCGGACCCTGATCTGATTGTCAGTCTGCTTCTCTCCTTTTTCCAGGAAGCCATGCAGATGGTGCCCAAGTTTTGCTTTCCTTTTGATGTAGAAAGGTATGGAAAGGAGCAGAGACAGAGGGACCCCAGGCTCTCGGGGACCCTAAGTGTTAAACACAGAGCAACTCAGACATCTGGAGACCCATTACCCAGGGACCTGGAGACCCAGGGACCCAGACAATCAGGGGCCTGGATAACTAGTGACCTAAATGCATAGAGACCCAAGGACCCATGAACTCATGGCCTCAGGTACCAAATGATCCATAAACCAGGGACCCGAACACCCAAAGTCCAGCCTGGTGGGGCACAGCACTGGGAGCATGGTTGGAGGGAGTAGGGCATGGGGAGCTGGATTGTCAGGACTCCCCGAGAGCCTTGCCCACCTCCAGGGAGCCCCCCAGCCCTGCCGTCCAGCATTTCACATTCGCCCTCACGGACCTGGCCGGCAACCGCAAATTTGGTTTCTGCCGCCTGCGAGCTGGTGCACAGAGCTGTCTGTGTATCCTCAGGTATGGAAAGAGAGCCTGGGACAGGGTGGGAAGCACCAAGCCTCGGCCAGGGTACTCCATTCAGCCCCTCCTCTCTCCGCAGTCACCTGCCATGGTTCGAGGTATTCTACAAGCTACTGAACACAGTGGGGGACCTCCTAGCTCAGGACCAAGTGAGACCAGCCCCCCTTTCACTCCTGCCAGAGTCCCAGCCCCTGCCCCATCTTGTCTCCAGCCCTCCTCTGAACTACCAGACCAGTCCTGAGTCCCTCAGCACCTCCGAGGCCACCTGGCCTGAGCCAAGACCCTCAGAGTCCCAAATCCTCCTCCTGGTTCAGACACTCCCCGACTTCCACCCAGGTCTCCGAGGCTGAAGAACTTCTTCTAAATCTGCTGCAGCAGCCCCCTCCTGGGCCCCAGGTCTCAAGAGGGCTGGTGAGTAGCTCCCAACTCCTGGGCCACGGACGCTAGAGGGATGGGGAGGATGTACCCCAGCCCTGAGGAACACGCAGCTATACCTGTCCCCCAGGGCGGCGGAGTGACCATCTCCGGTGTGCACGGAATACTCCCTCCTGCCCCCGGGAACAGCAGGCTGGTGAGCGAGAATCAGGCCCCTGGAAGGCTGGGCACCCAGGTGAGGTCAACTCGCAGACTGATTGCTTACCCCCACCAATGCGCCCACCAGCTTTCCTGCTTCGTGGCTCCGGACTCCGACTCCCTGCCCTCCATTCCTGAGAATGTAAGTAGGGACGCGGGAGGGAACTCCGGGGGCGGGCAGAGGTCCCAGAACCCAGAGTGGAACTCCAGATCTTGGCGTCTGCCCATGCTCAGCGCGTGCCCCTCGGTTCCTCAGAGAAACCTAACGGAGCTGGTGGTGGCGGTGACAGATGAGAACATCGTGGGCCTGTTCGCCGCGCTCTTAGCCGAGCGAAGAGTCCTGCTCACTGCCAGCAAGCTCAGCACGGTGAGGCGGGGGAGAGGACAAGGCCAGGATCCACCCGGGGGGAGGACACAATGGGAGGGGCTGACAGTGGGAACTCCACCTGACCCACCCTATCGGGTGGAACGGGAGTGTGTGTGGTGTAGCTCCTCCTCCTTGGGCTCGCTTGGCTCCGCCTCTCTGGAGGATAAGATCCTAGAGCCCTAAATTCTAGCTCCGCCCCTAGGGGTATAGATGGGTGGGATCTGAATACACCGGGCGGTGGAACCGTGAGCTGGAACCGGGAGCTGCCTTAGAGTCCCTCCTCTTTAGGGGTTGGGGTCAGTGGAGGGTTGCCATGGCTCCGTCCCTAGGAATGGGATCTGAGCGGGCTGAATCTTAACTCTGCCCCTTACAAGGAGGAATTAGGACAGGCAAAGTCTTGGCTCCACCCACTGAAAAGCACGAGACAGTTCTCTGTAACACTGTAACCTCGGGGAAATTGCTTCCAGGACCCCAAAGGATACCAAAATCAGCAAGTGCTTAAGTCCCTTATCTAAAATGGCATAGTATTTGAATAGAACCTATGCATGTCCTCCTATGAACTTTAAATCATCTCTAAGTGACTTCAAATACCTCATACAATGTAAATACTATGTAAATAGTTGTTATGCTCTATTGTTTGGGAATAATGACATGGAAAAAAAAAGTCTCGTTCAGCACAGATGCATTTTTTTTTTAAATATATTTGACCCAAAGTCGGTTGAATCCGAGTTTGCAGAATCCTCAGGTACCCAGAGCGGACTGTCATTAGACAAATTCTTGGTCTCCATCTGATTCCTAAAGGGGTCTGAGTTTTCCCCCATTTCACCGCAGGGTGAGGGAGGAGGAGAAATAGGAGACTGGGAAGGTTTGAACCGTCGACTTAGAGAGGGTCCTTGAAGTTAGGAGGCCCTAACTCTAAACCCTTCACCTGTCCCCAGCTGACTTCCTGTGTTCACGCGTCCTGTGCTCTCCTGTACCCCATGCGCTGGGAACACGTGCTGATCCCCACGCTGCCCCCACACCTACTGGATTACTGCTGGTGAGGAATGCGGGCCTGGAAGGGGGGGCCGGCCTAGGGAAGAGGCCTGGGGTGGGGGCAGTGCCCGCATGACCCTGGCTCTCGGTCCGCAGTGCGCCTATGCCCTACCTCATTGGAGTGCATGCAAGTCTTGCCGAGGTGAGAAGGAACCGCCATCCCGCAGGTGGCGGGGCGGGAGGGATCCCCTTCCCCACCAGGGAGGGATCCTCAGGCTCTGAGAGAGCATCTTCCGTCCCTTGCAGAGAGTGCGCGACAAGGCCCTGGAGGACGTCGTGGTATTGAACATAGACTCCAATACCTTGGAGACGCCCTTCGAAGACGTGCAGACGCTGCCGCCAGACGTGGTCAGGGTCACCCCCTCCCACTCTTCTCCAGGAGCCGGAAACCTCACATTTGCTCACTCAGTGCCTCCCTCTGGCCCTACCTACAGGTGTCCTTGCTGAGGCTAAGATTAAGGAAGGTCGCGCTGAGCCCCGGGGAAGGAGTGTCCCGTCTCTTCCTCAAAGCCCAGGCCCTGCTCTTTGGCGGCTACCGCGATGCGCTGGTCTGCAGCCAGGTGAGCAGCAGGGATAGATGCCGAGAGAGAGGTGGCTCTCCCTCGCTCTCTGCGTTCCTGAAGGATTCACAACGCTAATAACTTGGAGCGTTCGTGGAGGAGTGACCTGTGCCTGTTTGCTCCCCTGTGAAATGGGATGCCGATAGTGCCCACCCAAAAGGGTTGAGTCGGCGAATGGGCGTATTCCAAGCACTTCGCACCGTGTTAGCATATACGGAGTCCTCCATAAACGCCGCCGGGTCTTGCTGTTATTTAATGCTCACGCTGAGATGGCTACTGTTAAAGCCCCATTTTGTAGATGACAACCCGAGGCTTGGAGAAGCTCCACGTGGAGTGGGAGAGTGGAATCCAGAACCCTGATCTGCTCTCAAGCTCCTTCGTCCCCCACACACATTTTTCATAACTATTCTTTTAAAACTGAGGGGATGCCAGGGTCATTTACACATCTGGCTTTCACCTCCAACGCTCCCTAGTGGCCTCCCCATTAGGACTTACCTCCCCCTACACTGGCTCTGTCCTGCCTTCCACAGTCTCCTCCCAGCAGGGGTCAGAGGTTACCTGGGAACACCTGAGTCAGGTACCATACCTGCTCTGCAGCTCTCCCAAGGCTCCCACCTCTGTAGAGGTAAAAGACCATCCCATGGCCCATGAGTCCCTGCAGGGGGTCAGGAGCACAGCAGGCATCCAGTTGATGTTTGCCACATGGCTTTATGGTAGAATGAAGGAGGTGGTTGGGGATCAGGAGAGCCACTGGGAGCTCAGGACAGGGCTCCTTCTTCCAGGGCCAGCCTGTAACCTTCAATGAAGAAGCCTTCTTGGCCCAGAAGCCTGGGGCGCCCCTGCAGGCCTTCCACCAGCGGGCTGTACACCTGCAGCTGTTCAAGCAGGTGGGTCAGAACCCTGAGGGTGAAGCCAGAGAGGGCCTGCTGGGTTCCCAGGGGTGGGTTGAGGACGGCCTCTGAGCCCAAGGCGAGGCTCCAGCAGACCTCTGAGATCTTATGAGGGGGCTGGGGCTGCTCCCAGGGGACTCCCCAACTCCAGAATCCCCAGGTGGGGAAAAGACCTACTTCTAGGCTCCTGGATGGATTGGGGGAGGGGGGGGTCCAAGTTCCTGGATCCCTAGGTGGGCATCTGTGAGTCTGTAGAGAGGGCAGGTCCTGACTGTGGACTCCCTTTTGGGTGGAGGAGGAAGCAGGCAGGGATTCCTGGGTCCTGGGAATGCGGGAATAGGGAGCAGGACCAACTCCTGGGTTCCTGGGAGAAGGTAGGTGAACTCCAAAATCCTTCCATGCCAGGCTTGGTTCTAGGATCCCTGAAGGCGGGCTCAAGTATTACAGGCTCACAGGAAGGGGCGGGCCAGGCTGGAAGGGCAGGGTTTCTCATTTGGTCCCAGTAAGGGAATCAGATCCCTGGGAACAGGTCCTGACTTGGGGCCAGGACAGAGTAGGTTGTTTCCTGAGGTGGGCTCCAGATTCCTGGACCTTTGGGTGGGCCTCTGGAGGAGCTGGGAGGGCAGGAAGGGGCACCTACGGACATAGCCCTTACATCCAGGTGTGTCCGGCCCTGTCCCCACTGCAGTTCATCGAAGCCCGGCTGGAGAAGCTCAACTCGGGGGAGGGCTTCTCCGATACCTTTGAGCAGGAGATCAGCTGCTGCAGGGATTCCTCAGGTGAGCCCCCTGCTGGCTTCCGGGTTCCTCCCCTACCAAGCCCCAGCCAATGCCCGCCTTGGATGATACCTGCTCTCCTCACCCCAGGCACCCTCCGCTCATATCAGCTCTGGGCCGACCACCTAAAGGTAGTAACACCAAACACTTGTTACATGTTGATTGGATTAATTTAATCCCACAATAGTCCTCAATGGGGTCCGTGATTATGCTCATTTATAGAGGTGGGGGAATTGGCCAGCAGCACAGCCCGGGGTGGGAGTGGGGCCTGGGGCCCAGCCCTAGTATAGTGGCCCCAACATCCCAAGTTTCTCCTTTGGCAACCTTCTTCCACAGAAAGGTGGTGGTGCTCTCCTGCATTCGGTCAAAGCCAAAACCCAACCAGCTGTCAGGATCATGTACCGCTCGGTGAGCTGCGCAGGATAGGCCAGACTGCTGGGGTGACGAGGGGAGGGGACCGAGGACGTTTGAGGCTCCAAGGGCGATGGGTCACTTAACCCTGACAGGCAAGTCCTGCGAAGGCCTTCATCAGAGCTGATGCAGCAGCCAAGCTGGGAAGGGTCCTCCCACTCTCATGTCCCCTCCAGCAGGCTCGGCTGGGTCAGAATCACTTCTTGCCCATTTAACATTGACAGTCAAAGATTCACTGGTGACTCTTGTCCTCAGAGGATACATCCCAGCTTCTGCCCGTCTTTTCTTCTCCAAAGCCTGAAAGTTTCCTGGGGCTTAAAATTCTCCATCCAAGTTTATTCTTTGTTTGATGGAGACAGTGACACATTTTTACAAGGCTGTAGGGCCACTCCCTGTTTTATGTGGGGTTAGGCCTCCAGAAATGCTTCTGTATTAGTCAAGGGGGCAAAAGTTTATGTTGACTTCAGAGGTGGTGCCCAGGGAGTAGTGAACTATTTGGAAGACACAGAGACAGGTCCTGTGGCAAGGCACAGCTGTGCTAGGGGTCACAGGGCTGACCTCAGATGCCCAGTGTCCAGTCACCCATAGGTCTAACTCCCCTTGGCTTCTCCATAGGCCAAGAGTGGCCTGAAGGGAATGCAGAGCCTACTGCTGTACAAGGTAAGAACATCAATAATGGACGGCAATGCCCTGGGAGGGAAGAAGGAGGGGCCTCCAGTCCTGCATCCTCTTCCTAGGATGGGGACTCTGGCCTGCACAGGGGAGGCTCCCTGAGGACCGCAAGCCTCACCAGCCGCTCAGATCGCCTGCAGCAGCGCCTGCCTATCACCCAGCACTTTGGACAGGTAAGAATGTGCTTCCCAGGCGCACACCTGGAATTATCACCAAATCCTCCACCCCGCCCCCACCCCAGTCTCTGCCTGAACATCTCGCCTCACTCCTCACATACACCAAAATTTGGTGCTCACTTCAAACGCACCCTCCTCCAGAAAGCCCCAGCCCCCTGATTCTGCAGCTCCACATCACTGCCCTCTTCACATCCGTCTTTTGTAGAACAGACCCCTTCGCCCCAGCAGGAGACTTAAGCCAGAAAAGGGACTTTCTGAGCCCCTGGGGGAGAGGTAAGACTCAAGGGGGACCAAGGTTGGAAGTGGAAGACCAGGATGGATCAGAAGGCTCTCCAAACATTAGAGCAGACCAACCAGGGCGGAGATCTCAGGAAACTTGGGGTGCCCTTTCTCACCCAGGACACCTCCCCTGAGCTCTGAGGATGCCCAGGGTCCATGGGCAGAAGAAGTTCTGGACAGCAACTTTTTGGGGTCCGGAGAAGAACTGGATTTGCTGAGTGAGATTCTAGACAGTCTGAGTGTACAGACTAAGAGCATGGGCAGCCTGAGGCCAAGCCAGAGCTTAGACTGCTGTCACGGAGGGGACCTGGACAGCTGCTTCAGCCTGGTGAGAGGGCCCCCACCCCCCCCACCCAATCTTTCCCCAACTGCCTGTCCAACCTGCCAGCTCTTTCTCATCAGCAGGTCAGCAACCTGCTCTCTCCTCCCATGCCCCACCCAGCCTGACCTACCAGGAAGAACAAGATGGCAACCAGATGAAGAGAAACTGCCAGAGCCCCAGCCCCTGTCCCTGCCTGCAGACCTGTCATCCCTTCAAAACACACCATCATTGGAAATCACATGCTCCTCAAAGAACCCCAATTCCCAGCTGCTCTCAGGCTCCAGCCAAGAAATCATCTCTCCATCCCAGCTTTCAACAGCTTCTACAGACACAAGCAGCCCAGGGGACCCCGAGTCCTCTCCTCTCACTGAGCCCTCAACCCTTCGTCTCTCCCCTCTTCAAAAGGCAACTGAGCACCCTACAGCCTGGGAGATCCCTTGCACCAGGCTCTCCGAGGCAAACACCCAGCCCAGCCCTCCACAAGGTCCCCAACTTCTAGCCCCAATGGAGCCCAACTTTGATACTGTCAGGACATCCCAGTCCCTTGAGTCTTCCCCAGACCCCAGTTTTCCAAAGAACCCCAGAACCCAGCCTCCCAAGGTCCTGCTACAACATGCTCACTTCCAGTCCCCCGAGGAACCAGGAACCCCCAACACCCTGACCTCACCCACCAGCGACTGGCAAGAGCCCCAGGCCAGGAAGAGGCCCCGAGTTGCTGATCTTAAGAAGTGTTTTGAGGGATAAGGATCAGGGGTCTGGAGACCCTGGATCCTCAATAAAGGCACAAGAGCCCAAAGTTGGTCTGTCCTGGTGAGTTTATGGGGGGGCTACTCTCTGCTCAGAACCCACCTACCCCCACCCGCCCTCCAGGGGCAGCCCTTCTGGCTCCTAGGTGCACCTAAAAGCCACTCTCTTCCAAGAAGCCTCCTCACGCCCCTAGGATCCCCATAACCTTACAACTCACGGCTACCTTCATCTCTCCATCTAGGCTAATGTTCCCACCAACTCAAAAAAGCTTTATTACATCTCACTACCAATTTTACATAAACGTATAAAAAGTGAGCAGCCCCCCACCCCCTGCCCCCAGGAGCCAAGTCTCTGAAGCACCTTCTTCCCTTCTATTCTCAAGCACTGGGTGAGTCTCATTGCCTAGAGAGGTCACCCCTTCCCCAAGGTCACACAGCAAGGAAGCGAGATGGAGGAAGGGAGGGACCTAGATGGGCAGGCAGCCCCGCACCTTCTCCTTGGAGTCCTGGGGGGCTTGGGCCTCCGCTGCGTGAGAGAACTGAAAGAAAGGATAGGGGGTTGTTGGGCCTGCTGCAGGGGACAGTACACAGCACAGTGAAGACGAAGACGGTGCAGCAAGCAGGAGTGGCCCCCGCCCCGGCCCCCCAGCTGCATGCAGAGTCGAGCAGAGGCAGCATGCTGCACAGCCACCAGGCCAGCACCCCCCAGTGCCCCCGAGTCATCAGAGCTGGTGTCTCAGTGGCGGCTGCTCTGTGCGCGGGGGTGTTGGGCAGTCCTGGGCAGAGCGGGCAGCTGCAGCTGTTCACAGCCTTCAGATGAGCCGCTCCTCCGGAGGCAACTTGAGGTTGGGGGGCGGTGGCGCGCGGGCACCCACCTGCTCTTCGCTGCTGGGCCGGTAGGTGCCCTCTGTCTGCCGCTTCTCCCGAAGTTTCCGTACCAGTAGCACCAGCCCCACGGCCAGGAGCAAGGCAGCCAGGATGGAGAAAACCACGATGATAGCAGTAATGGCCTCCTGAGACTACGGGGAGTGGGAGAGGACAGGTGTGACCCACCTGAATCATCCCCAAAAGAGCTGAATCTGGGGCTCCTAACCCCCTCTACACACTCAGACCTGCCCCCCCCCCAACACACACACCTGGGATTCCAGGATCCTCATCTACTTTGGGGGTTCAAGGCTCCCCCCACCTGCCACATCCAGGACTCCTGCCCCCACCACACCTGCCAGCTCTGGGCTCCTTATGATTGTCATATGAGGATCCTGCCAGGACTCTTGGTGTCCTTATTCTGGGACTTTAGGTCTCCTCCTTGTCCTGTTGCTATCCTAGTCTCACACTTGGGGCTCTCCAGTGCCACTTTGATCTGCCACCAGGGAGTGGGGAGGCAGTCCCCTCCACCTGCCACACAGGGGACCCCAACATAGTATCCCAGCTGCCCTCTTTCCACATAAACCCCAACTCACCAGACCCCCACTGTGGCTGGGGACAGAGGGCGTGACAGTGCCATTCTCGGAAGTGTTCAGTGCTGTGGGGGCTGGGGAGAGAGGATAAATGAATCCCCATCTCAGTCCCTCTGCACCTTCCTGGGGCACCCCTCCCCACAAGTGCAGCAGTCCCCAATTAAAACTGCTCCCCCAAGTCTCTTATGGGAAGAGAGATTACAGAGGCCCCCCACCCCCACCCCACCCCGACCTTGCAGGTTGAGCCTCGGGCCAGGCCCAGCTCAGCAGAGCCCAGCAGGGAGTAATCAGCCATCAGTTGTTTGTGTGGAGTTGGGGGCTATGATAATAGATCCTGGCGGAAGCCCGACCATCCCCCCACAGCCACCACTCGGGCCCTGGGCCCTTAAGGACTTGGGCGTCCTGCCTGGCCCAGGAGTTCCCGACACACCTCCCCCTCAGGCTTCCGAAACTGCAGAAGTGGCTGGCTGAGTCCACACCTAAGGCTAGCCATGTCAGCAGGACCCTGCGACCCAGGCAACCTCCTCCAGGCTCTGGCAAAACCCCATCCACAGACATTCAGGTCCACCGCCTCCCTTCCTTCACCTGCTCGGGTGAAGCGCCTTCCTCCCGCACCCCAGCCCACAAATTCCACCCCCTCAAGAGCTCAGTTCTGGTAGAGCAGCCCACGCTGTCCGAGGAAGGAGTCAGGAACTCTTCCCCCAGCCCCGACCCCTGGACCCCGCCCCAAAGCAACCCATGCCCATTTCCCAGTTCTGGACCCTCTCTGTGCCCCAGGTGCCCAGCACTTTGAGTCGGCCCTCAGCCGAGAGACCCGGGAATCCGCACGCCGCGCCCCGGGCGAGTACCTACCTTGCCCCCAGGCTCGGCCCAACAGGGCCGGCAGCAGCGGCAGGCCGAGCGCCAAGAGCAGCCCCAGGGCTGGGGTCGCCATGGGCTGGGCGACGGGTTGGCGGCGCCGGGCCCGGGCTTCTCGCGCTCGCCGCTCCTACCGCATCTTGGGCAGAGGGTACCTGAGACCCAGCACCTGGGGACGAGAGGAGAGGCCGGAGCGTGGGGTTCGGGGCTGGACCCAGGCGCAGGCCCAGGGCAGAGGCGACGAGCGCCAGGACACCCGGGATCCCGCCCCGCCCCCGCGGCCGAGTTTAGAGATTAAAAATTAACTCCCGGGCCGCGTTCCTGGGCCGGGAGAGGGAAGGGCAAAGGGTGGGGGCGGGGGCAGCCTGCTGAGCGTCCACCTCCCTACCTGGCCGGACGTCTCTGACCTCACTCAGGTTCCCTGTCCCGGTCCCTCACCCGAACCCTGGGTCAGTCCGCCGGTCGCTCGCTCCGACCCTACCAGCCCCGCCCGCTCACGTGACCCGGAAAGTTTAGTCACTCACCTGGGAGGGGATGGCACTTCCGGCCAGTGCACCTGAGCCTAGAAGAGGGGGCGGAGTCAAGAGGGGCGGGGCCGCGCCGCCGGCGCACCTGTAACGGGAATCCAATCCACCGTGGCAGGGTAGCGAAAGGGCCCGAGCGCGCAGGTGTAAGGACTTGACACCGGGATTTCTGGCACATCTTCAGGATCGTACAGGTGTGGAGACACTCGGGGCACGCAGGCACGGGTGAGTGAGGCACCGCGCCTGGGTAGACTCGGCACTTTTCATTAGGAGAGTTCCTAATGAAAAAACACCTGTGTAGTAAACACCTGGCTGGGAGCAAATCCGTGTAGGAGACATGGGCAGGGATGTTTACCGGTTAGAATACTTACCGAGATATCTGCGTCGAATCTCATCCATTCGGAGTACAGCTGAATGGAAGCATACCTGTGTTGGAAACATGCGCATTAGAACTAACACCAGACAGCGGCACTCCTGGGTGTCCTACACCTGCTCTGGAAAAGAATGCATAGCTCACCTATGAAGTGCACACCACTTGTATGAGGAATTCCTGTGTGGAGAGGTATGGAGATAACTGTCCAAAACACACCTGCAGGGGACCCACTGATACGGAAACATACCCATATAGGGGAATATTTAACTGAAACACACCGTGGGGAGCTGTACGTGCATTCACAGAGGAACTCCTGCTGCAAAACATACCTGTGAGGTGACGAATTTCCTTGAATAAAGAAGGCTTGTATACAAGGGAAGACCTGGAATCACCTGAGGCACTCTCAACACTGAGGCACATCGTGGGGAGAACCGTCAGGACAGAGGTTCAAGCGTACTGAGGCCAACTGTCAGGGGAACACATACTTGGGGCATCTCCACTGGAAAACACCTGTATCCCAAATATTGTAGGGCACCTGTAAGGAACACCCATGAATGAAAACATCTGCAAGCTACAAGAAGTACTCAAGCACAGCTTTCTGGGCAGAGGCAGGGCGAGAAGCAAATGAGCCCTCAAAGCTGTGTCTTTGGATGGAGTGTGATGATAGTCACAAGACCCCTCCAGAGGACTCTGGGGTAAAGAGCGATGATTAAAAGGGAATTAGCTGGGAGTGGTGGCTGAGGCCTCTCATCTAGCCATTCAGGAGTCTCAGGCAGGAGGATCATTGGTCAAGACCAGCCTGGGCAACTTAGTGAGAGAGAGATGCTTTCTCAAAACAAACAAACAAATAATAGGAGGAACTGGTGATACCGCTCAGCGGTCAAGCACCCTCAGTTCAATCCCCAGGACCAATAAATGGATGATGATGGTGATTATATACTGGGGTTGAACCCAGCGGCACTTTACCACTGAAATACATCAGTCCTTTTGATTTGATTTGATATGATTTTTTTAAAAAAATAAATATTTTTAGTTTTCAATAGACCTTTATTTTATCTGTTTATATGCAGTGCTGAGAATTAAACTCAGGGCCTCATATGTGCAAGGCAAGCACACCACCACTGAGCCACAACTTCAGCACTGATTTTTTTTTTGACACAGGGTCTCTCTGGATAAGTTGCTGAGGGCCTCGCTAAATTGCACAGGCTGGCCTCGAACTTGCCATTCTCCTGCCTCAGCCTCCAAATCGCTGGGTTTACAGGAATTCACCAAGTCTGGGTTTGGGGGGTTGTTGTTGTTTATTTGGTTTTTGTGGGTACTGGGGATTGAACTCAGGGGCACTCGACTACTGAGCCACATCCCCAGTCCTATTTTGTATTTTATTTAGACACAGGGTCTCACTGAGTTGCTTAGCACCTCGGTTTTGCTGAGGCTGGCTTTGAACTCTCGATCCTCCTGCCTCAGCCTCCTGAGCCGCTGGGATTACAGGCGTGCGCCACCACATCTGTGTTTTTAATCCTTTGTAACATATAGAAAGATGGTTAAGGGTCCCAGATCAATTTAAATCCCGGCTTTGCCTTTTAGTGGGAATGAGGACTGGAAAGTATAACCTTCTGTTTCCTCATCCGTAAAGTAGGAAAGCTAGAGTCTTGAAGAGGACGATGAGAGAAGTGAGTAAAAGGTCTGGCATGTGCCATGCACTGCCAGACTTCTTCTTCTTCTTCTTCTTCTTCTTCTTCTTATTATTATTATTATTATTATTATTATTATTATTATTATATTGTTTTCTGTCAAGTGGGCCCTCTGATGGTGAGTCGAGAAACTGCACCCGAAACTAGTGGGCGGGACGCTCGGCAGGTGCATCGAGAGCGACTGGCTAGAGTCCCAACTCCAGTGCTCCGCCAGCCAATCCTTACCCCTATCTGCGCCCAGGACACAGATGTCCGCCAGGCGGGTCACGAGAGAGCAGTCAGCTCGGCGTCTGGATCCGCCCCTTTAAGACTGCCTGGCGGGCGGTGGGACTGAAAAGCTAAGGCAGCCTAGGTCAGCTGGAGGCTCCGCCCAGGTGGGCGGGCGGGGAAGGACGGACCCGCGCAGCTCAGGGGCCTCTGACCAATAGGAAAGCGACTGTGCAGCCGCGCCGCGTGTTGATCTTTCGTTTCCCTGTTTGAGTGGGGCCTAGAAAGAAGGCGCGCGGGCAGAATGAAGGAACACCGAGCAACGCCTCTTGATCTTCTGTTTCTGTAACTGAGTGGGGAATCTGACATGCGCGGGCGGGCAGACGAAGAGCTTAGCCGGCTCACGGTTCTTGCGTACGTCTGGAAAAAGCGAGAACTTTAGTTCTTGAATAGGATTAGCAGGAGAGGGAGGTCAAGTGAAAAGAGATTATGAAACCCAATCCCTAACGTCTCCCTCCCTCGCTCTCTTTAGGGAAGGGAAAAGGGTAAACTGAGGCAAGCAGGTGGAACTCTAAAACAAAAACTGAAAACACTGAATTACCTATCCTCTCTTCCCAGAGGAGTCTTGGGGCTCTTGGGCTGTGCGAAACCATCCTAGACATCCCTCCCCACGCCCCCAGCTCCGCCCTCGGTACCCCACCCCCTTCCCATGCGGGTAGGAGGAGGAGACGCAACTTCTGGAGCAGGCGGCGACGGCTAGCAATTAGCACCTCTAGCAAGTGCCAGAGCCCGGCGGGCAGCGCAGAGGCTGCGGTGCCAGTGGCCGCGGAGCTAGCCCTGCAGGGTCTCGGGGGGGAGGGGGAGCCGTAAAGCCCCCGCTGAGGCCGCCGCTGCCGGGCCTCCCCTCCCCCCCACCCCCGGGCAGGAGCCATGCGGGGGGGCGCAGGTGACGCGGAGCGGCAGCAACGCTGGGGTCGTCTATTCGAGGAGCTGGACAGTAACAAGGATGGCCGCGTGGACGTGCACGAGTTGCGCCAGGGACTGGCCAGGCTGGGCGGGGGCGACCCAGACCGTGGCGCCCAACAGGTACTCCCGCCGGACCCTTCTAGCGCGCTGCACCGTGGCCTCTGCCGGCCCAGTAACCCGAGCCTCTGAATGGGGCGGCTGGAGCCGCGGGGGACTGACGACCTGTGGCTGGACTCCAGGTCCCCTGTCTCGGTTCCCTTCCCCCGGCCCACCCGTGTCTGGCTTAACGGGATCGCAAGACAGGGCCGCCAAGGCCCCAGGCCTGCAATTTGGTTGCCAGCTCCGGGTACCCTCGAGGGTGGGGGATGCCTGCCAGGGAATAGAGCTGGGCGCTTTTCTGCCCACTGACTGTGACACACCCTCCTCTGGCCTTTGCACAACCCAAGAAGACATGGCCTGCTCCCACTTCCAGAGGACACACCCTCCCCACTCTCAGGGCACCCACTGCCCTCCCAGCCAGTCCCTCTGTTTACATTCCCTGCCTGTCCTTTCCTGGGCTGGCTCATTGCCCCATGTTGCCCCAGCCAGGGACTCCAACCTGTCCGAGGCCACCCTCAGCTGGGGATCAAGGCAGAAACTTGCCTTCCCTCCCCTTCCTTGCAGGTGTCCCTCATACCTTTAGCTCCCAGATGCCCCTGAAGCAGCTCCACAGCATCCCTGAGACCTCTAGTCCAACTCCCACTTCCCAGATGGGTAATACGGAGACCCTGCGGTAGCTCGCTTGGATCCATCATGCCCCTCATTGTCCAGGGCTGTTCCTAAAGGGAACCCCTGAAACTGCCATGTGAACAGGTTTTTTATAAGAGACAGAACAGGCTTTGGAGACAAGAACCCAAGGTTACCACTTCCCAGCTCTGTGACCTTGAACCAGTTTCTTGACTTTGCAGAGCCTCAGTTTGCTTGCCAGGAAAACTGGACAATGCCAGGCACCTCACATGCCTATTGTGGTCTTGGGCATCTTGCTGGGAACTGAGCCCATCAAGGGAGGGGGATGATGTACCCTGTACCCCTCCTCCAAGTGCTGGGGGCTCAGGGTGCCTGTGGCATAATGCTCATTGTGCCCTCTCCAGATGGGGGAGCAGCCTCATGGAGCCCCTTCTGTCCCCTTCCCCTTTGCCAGGGCATCTCCCCTGAGGGTGACACTGATCCAGAGAGCGGGTTCAACCTGGAGGAATTCACCCGTTACCTGCAGGAGCGGGAACAGCGCCTGCTGCTCATGTTCCACAGCCTTGACCGGAACCAGGACGGTAAAGCCAGACTGCAGGCAGGGGGATGGGGCCAATGGGGTTAGAACTGGCAGCGCTGAAGGAGGGGGCAGGGCTGCCTCTCCCTGATGACTCACCAGCTATTTTGGGGAATTCTCCTCACCCTCAACTAGGTGGTTCGAGTCCCAGCCAGCCCATTCCACTTCCTTTTCCCTTCCTGAGTGGGGACCCCTGTTTTTCCCCTTAGGTACCTATTTCTCAGAGACAAAGTTCACCCACATTGCTTCTAGGTTTCCTATGGGGTAGATACCCACTAAGCATCATCTGTGGGTTCTGTTCTAAGTATTGTCTTTTAATCCCTTGTGACGTAGGGACCCCATCATTGCCATTAGATCCCTTCACTCATGGAGCAGAGGACTCCCCAATATTGCCTAATTCCACCTCCAAGCAGTCCCTACAACCCTGGGTGCAAACCTCACCCTGGGTTTCTGGACCTCCTGGTCTTGCTAGTCCATGCCCCATTCCAGCCTGCCCTGATCCGTGGTCCTGGGGTACCCCAAGATTCCCACACACGCTCTTTCCAACCTCTGAGCCCTCTCCAGGTCACATTGATGTCTCTGAGATTCAGCAGAGTTTTCGAGCTCTGGGCATTTCCATCTCACTGGAGCAGGCAGAGAAAATCCTACACAGGTAAGTCACTGGAGGTTCAGAATCCTGGGCCCCAGAAATCCCAGAAACGCAGGCCCCTGGGACTCCTCAGTCACCTCCATATTCTGGGCCCCAGGCCCAGTTCCAGAGAGGGTAGAGCTGAGTTGGGCTTTGGAGTCAGACAGATCCTGAGCCAGTTGCTTGAATCTCTGAGCCTCAGGCTCTCCCTCTGCAAGTCAAGGGTGATCATGGGAGTACCCAGTAGGCTTGGTATGGAGGACCAACACCAGACAACCCGGGAGTGTGATCAGAACAGTCCGAGAAGCGTGGGAAGCTCTCAGTGTGCCCCAAACTTGCAAAACCTGGCAGCACCTCTCCTCAGAGCCAGGCACTGAGATTGTCCCCACCCCAACTCCAGCATGGACCGTGACGGCACCATGACCATCGACTGGCAGGAATGGCGTGACCACTTTCTGTTGCATTCTCTGGAAAACGTGGAGGACGTGCTCTATTTCTGGAAGCATTCCACGGTGAGATGGGGGCTGTGTCAGCCGGGGAGCTGCGCCTCCTCCCTGGTGGGCTTGCTGAGGCTTCTTGGGGCTTGGAAGGGCTGAGCCAGGACTTGTGAGATGGAGAAGGAACTGGAAGCAGCTGGGGGGGTGAAGCTGTGTTCCTTTCTTCCTTCATTTGGGGTCCAGCAGCCTGGGGTGTCTCTGCTGTCTGATCAAAGCCCTTCAGACTTACTTGGGCTTCAATCAGGGGCCTCCAGGAGCAGACGGAAGGGTTGGAGGCTAAAGGAAGAAAGAACTCACCAGATGGGGTTCCAGCCTCCCACCCTCAACCCACACAGCTCCCTTTCTGCCAGATTCTCTCTGCCTGAATAATGGATTCTGCTACTGACCTGAAAAGTTAGAAAGCCAATGGCTTTGGGTGGGGGGGTCCAGTGGGGTCCACTGGAAGGAAGTAGGAAGTAATCAATTCTATCAGTGAGCTCTAAAGGGACGATGACTTCTGGGGGACAGTTCCTGTGGAGATCTCAGATCTTATGAGGCACCGGAGGGATCTGCTGAGGTCTTCACAGGAGAAGTTCCTGGTAGGATATTGTGTATTACTAGAGGAATCTTCTGGAATCTTTCCATGGGAGGCCCTTTAAGGAGACCTTTAGTGGGATCTGATAGCTCTGGAGATCTTTATGTGGCAAATGCTTGGATGGGATCGTTTGATGGGAATTGGACAAACTTCCTGTGGAATTTTGTGGGTCCTTTGGTGGAATCTGATGGCTCCTTAGGCGGGATTCAGTAGATCCTTTAGCCACTGGGTTGGGGGTTTTGATGGCACCTGGAGGGATCCAAGAGTGTTCTTCTGTGCATTCCCAGCAAGATCCATTGATGGGCTCCCTGGGGTGTCCTGGGATTCGTGGAGGAGACTCCCCAACCAAGGACTGAATTGCTTCTCCCTACCTCCACTATAACATGCCATCATGACGTGACACCTCGCCGATGTCCTCAGGTTCTGGACATTGGCGAATGCCTGACAGTGCCAGATGAGTTCTCAAAGCAGGAGAAGCTGACGGGCATGTGGTGGAAGCAGCTGGTGGCTGGTGCAGTGGCAGGCGCTGTGTCGCGGACAGGCACAGCTCCTCTGGACCGCCTCAAGGTCTTCATGCAGGTGAGGGGCCCCAGAGGGACTTGCCTGCTCCCCCAGGCCCAGGACCTAGGAGGGAATCACAAGGCTGCCATTTCTCCCTGCTCAGGTTCATGCCTCAAAGACCAACAGACTGAACATCCTTGGGGGTCTACGGAGCATGATCCAAGAGGGGGGCATCCTCTCCCTGTGGCGTGGTAATGGTATCAATGTACTCAAGATCGCCCCTGAGTCAGCCATCAAGTTCATGGCCTATGAGCAGGTGAGGGCAGGTGTAGGGAAGGGTGTGCTTGGCATGGGGAAGCCTGGGGTAAATATGAGGACCTGCGGGTTGGCCTGTGAGTGGGGGATGGTTGGGGCCCCCAGAAATAGACGTTTGTCCCTGCACAATGCCCACAGCAGTCCAGTTCTGTAGAAGCCAGGGGATAGTAGAGCTCATGAAAGGCCCCACCCCTGAGGGTCTGCCCCCCATGTCTGCCTCCGTCAGATCAAGCACGCCATCCGGGGACGGCAGGAGACACTGCAGGTGCAGGAGCGCTTCGTGGCTGGCTCCCTGGCTGGTGCCACAGCCCAGACCATCATCTACCCCATGGAGGTGAGGTCTCTGGGAGGAGAGTCATGGCGATTTCCCTCCTCACTCCACACCATGCACGGGGATGGTAACTGCCGCTCCCTGGTTAGGGACCCCGGCTCCTGAGAGCAACACCATCACTTGCCTGGCTTACCTAGGTGCTACAGTCTCAGCCATAACGTCTAGGACCATGGCGCTGGTTAGACTGGACAGTAGGCAGGCATTCAGCCATTTAGGGCTATGCCTCGCCGAGGACAGAATGCTTGTTCACAGGGAGTATCCTTTCTAAGCATCGCTACTTTGAGATAAATCATTTCAGGTTTCAGGTTGTATATCATTAAGATTCTGAAAATGGCGGGAAATTCAAATAACATGAATGAAGTCTTGAGATGATAGGTCAGGCCTGGAAGGGTGGCTTCAGAGCAATAGAGACCCAGGTCCTTCTGTCTACCTTGTTGTTCCACTAACATGGCAGGTAGCACTCACCTCATGGATCAACATGGCTGCTTGTGCTCTGCTCATACATTTCAGTTCCAGAAAAGAAGGACTAAGCCACAAAGAAGGGAACACCATCCTCTGAAAGCTATGCATAGCTCTTAGCTCTTTTTACTTCTATTTTTCTTTTTTTTTTTTTTTAAGTTGTAGATGGACACAATGCCTTTGTTTTATTTATTTATTTGTATGTGGTGCTGAGGATCGAACCCAGTGCTTCACACGTGCCAGGCAAGCACTCTACCACTGAGCCATAACCCAGCCCCTTTTTCCTTCTGTTTCATGGTGTAGGACCTGGTAATGTGGCCACTAAGGAAGGCAGGAAGTGTAGTTTTTATCTCTAGTGGTTATGTGCTTGCCAAAGTTATCTTTCTGTTATTCGGGAAGAAGGGAACTAGATGTTGGGGGACAGTCAATGGTGGCTGCCACAGGTCACTCTAGTTGGTGGATCTGCTTCTGGGAGTACTGTTTCTAGGTCTTCATTCCTGGATGTGACAACTTGGGCAGGGGATGGGGACCAGCTTTTCCAGGGATAACTGAGTTTTCCCAGGTGCTGAAAACACGGCTGACCCTGCGCCGGACTGGTCAGTACAAGGGACTGCTGGACTGTGCACTGCGGATCCTGGAGCAAGAAGGGCCCCGCGCCTTCTACCGAGGCTACCTGCCCAATGTGTTGGGCATCATTCCCTACGCGGGCATCGATCTGGCCGTCTATGAGGTCTGTGGCAGCCCCCGCCCCTTCTGCCCTCTGTGATTTGCCCACAGGACACCCTTCAGTCAACCTCCCCGATCTAGAGAAGGACAATCATGGGGTGAGGAGCACCATGGGTGTGGAACCCTGGGGAACCCCTCCATGTGCTGGACTCCCCATCTGGCCATGAACTGCTGCAAGAAAGTTTGACTTACAGTTCAGCCCTCTGTGGTCACCTGGGAGTTGGGGACCACTCTAGCTCACAAGAATCCTGAGAGCAGGCAAAGATGAGCCTCCAAGGTGTACATCTCCCCAAAGCATGGACCAGCCCCAGGCTCTATTCCTAGGCTGATGAATTCTTCAGGGCCTGCGCATCTCAGCATCTACCGTCACTAGAGAAACCGAGCCCCGCAACCAGCACCTTGGGCCCTTCATCAAGGGACGCGGGAGTGGGGAGTTTTTGCTGTCTCTCCTTGTGGGTCTCGTGTTGCTTTAGCCTCCTCCTGGGGTCATCAAGTCCTCCAATCAGGACAGCTGTAGATCCCCCGGAATCCTCCCAGTTTTTGTTTGTTTGTTTGCTTGTATGTTTGTTTGGTTTTGGTACTGGGGATTGAGCCCAGGGCCGCTTAACCACTGAGCCACATCCCCAGCCCTTTTTATGTTTTTATTTTGAGACAGGATCTTGCTAAGATGCTTAGGGCCTCACTAAGTTGCTGAGGCTGGCTTTGAACTCGTGATCCTCCTGCCTCAGCCTCCCAAGTTGCTGGGATGACAGGTGTGCACCACAGTTCCTGGTGCCTGGCCTCCTCAAACCTTTCTATCCAAGACAGGCCAGCTCCCTGAGTGTGGGAGCAGTCACCAAGGGTCCTGGCTCAGAGGTGCCCACACTTGAGCAATTCTCTGCTTAGGTCATCTTGAAATTCTCAATGATTTTTTTTTTTTTTAAAGACCCTGTTTTTGTTTTGCACTGAATCCCACAAACTATATCATCCTTCCTGGTCTGAGTCTGTTCCTGCCATACATACCCACGTTCCCCAGTTCCCAGCATCAGGACAGGGGAAGGAGACAGGCCCTGTTCACACACAGTGTGTTCAGACCTCCACTCGTTCCTCTGTCCCTTCACACGTCCACAGCCTCTGTCCAGTGAGCACCTGCCGTGCACCTGGCCTGGGTGCTCGCCGCCACAGGGTGCAGAAGGAGCCCTCCATAACCCCTGCCCTCCTGGGACACTCATCCCAGTGAACCCGGAAGCCCATCACCCCACAAATAAGAGTCTCAGCTCCCAGAAGCTCCCAGAAGTTGGAGGACAGGGTTTGCCATCATAGGCAGTGGTGGGCTGGAGGTGGGGGGATACCTCTGGGCTGGTGGCACTGGAGCCCAGTGACATGACATCAGCAAGAAGTGGGAGCGCAGCAGGGGCCCAGCAAGACAAAGCAGGGACCAACTTGGCCTGCTAGAGGGCCCCCCGTCTTGATCAGCCCAGGGAACTGGGCAGATCAGAAGGTGAGGTCAGAAAGGTCAGCCGGACTCCATGGTGAGGGTTTGGGTTTTTCCTAAGTGCAATGGGAAACCATGGAGGTTTGTGAGCAGAAATGGGATCTGACCCTGTTTAATACATTTTTCTCCCAAAAAAGGGAGTTCACGTGGCTAAGAAGCTTAAGAAGCCCTGTGCCCTCTTGGAGTTTCAAAGTCTATGTTAGTCCTTAAAGGCTCTGACAAGTCCTGCAGTAAAGTGATGGAACAATTATTTTAGAACCTCTTCAACACAACAGCTCTTCTCCCACTTTGCCCCCACCCCTTTGCTGGGGATGGAACCCAGGGCCTTGCACATGCTCGGGAAGTGCTCTACCACTGAGCTGTACCCCAGCTCCAGAACAGCTCTTAATAACTCAGTTAACATCTATTTGACAAATTAGGGTCTGAACCTTAAGAAGACTATTAAAATGGCAAAGGCGGGCCTGGTGAAGGAGGCAGGAGTAGGATGATTACTTCAGCCCAGAGTTGGAGACCACCCTAGGCAACATAAAATCCTGTGAGACTCCCGCCTCAATACAAAACAAATAAAATAGCTACATATTATTTTTGATTTAATTAATTTATTTGCAAAGACAGTAAACACTTGCCTGTGTTTTCTAATCTACACCTGGACCAGACATGACTAATCTATCCCAGCATTGAGTCCCCCTCAGAACACCTCTGGTTCCAGGCAGACATTTACCAATGAATTAAAGCTGACACAGGAAATGAAACCTACAAGCCACCCTAGTGACAAGGCACAAAAGGTCTTATCCTAACAAAGTCCTTGGCAGGGAAGTGAGGGAGTGGCTGACTAGCAGGCTCCAGGCCCTGGTTTTAATCCCCAGGAACCCTCCTCTCACCCTCCCACCCCCACCCCCACCCAAAAAAAAAGATACAGAGGCTTTGGCAGCAGCTTCAGAAGGGATTAGCCACCTGAAGACTAAACACACAGTTCTGGAGTCGCTGGCTCTGAATGTTGAGTCTTACCTTGTTTTTGTAGCTTGGAGCAAGTAACTTCCCTGAGCCTTAAGTTTCTCCTCTACAAAATGCAGATAGTAGGATTAATTGTCTTCACTGGAGCTCTGGGAGCAGCTGCAGAGACAGGGATGTGAGGGCAGGGTGGTGAGAGGAAAGGCAGGGGATAAAGCATGTATGTCTATTTCCCAGGGCTGCTGCAACAAAGTATCCCCAGCTGGCTAGTTACAGCAGTCAGAAGGGACAGTCTCCCAGCTCTGGAGGTCAGAAGCCCAAATTCGAGTGTCCAGAGCCATACTCCCCTGAGACCTGTCGGAGGGAGTCCCAGTACCGCCTCCAGCGTCTGCTCCTTACCACTGCTGGCATTCCTTTTGTTTTTGTCTGTCTTTTGACACCAGTCCCAAGGTCACACTGTGTCACCCCAAGTGCCTCAAACTCCTGAGCTCAAGCAATGCTCCCGCCTCAGCCTCCCAAGCAGCTGGGGTTCCAGGAGCCCAGCAGCATTCCTTGACTGGAGACGTTAGCCTCTGCCTCCTGTCACTGGCTTTCTCTAACTTGGGTGTCTCTGCGTCTCTTTTTACTGCACTGAGAGTTCACCCTACTCATCTTTGCCAGTTACATTTGCAAAGACCATGTCCTAAGATGCCAACACAGCCAGGTGCAGTGATACCTGCCTGTCATCCCAGCTACTTGGGAGGTTGAGGCAGGAGGACTGCAAGTGCTAGAGCTGCCTCAGCAACTTAGCAAGACCTTGTCTCAAAGTAAAATGACAAGGGCTGGTGTGTAGCTCAGGGGCCAGTGCTTGCATGGTCTGTGTGGCCCCGGATTCCATCCCCAGTATTGCAGGAAGAAAAAAAAAAAAGATAGGCACATATCCTGTGGGTGGGGGTTCACAGCTCATAATGGTGTGTTACCAAGCAAGTTGCCACTCTTGACAAGCACAGCTCAGTCCCTCTGGGGTCCTCTGGCTGAAGAGCCAGAACATGCCCCACAGAAGGGTGGGGGCTGGAGCACTAATACGCCCAGCCAGAGCTTTGATGGCTGCTTCTGGGGGTGCAGGTTCCCTGCACTTGCCTCCGGTTCCTAGTGCTCAGAGCATCCTGATATGGGTGCAGAGAAGGTCCTGGGGCAGCTCCATGGGTGCTGGCAGGCAGCCCTCAGGAGGTTTGAACCAAAGCAATAAAGGAGAAGGGAGGGACACCACAGAGGAGGCCACGGACACCCACCTTGGAGGGTGTGCTCGGTTCATATTCATTTCCTGTGGCTAAAACAAACTGCCACAAACCTAGTGGCTTAAAACAACACAAATTTATTATCTTACAATTAGGAAGGTCAGAAGTTCAAAATGTGAGTCCTGCTGGGCTTTATGAAATGTGGCTGCCTCCTTTTCAGAGGCTGTGAAGAATCGTTCCTCTGCCTTTTGCAACTTTCCATGATTCCCTCGGCTCATGCGGCCCCTCCGTCCACATTCAGAGGAATTGTAGAATCTTCTCATCCACCAACCAGTCTCTGCTTTTGTTTTCATTATCTCTTTTTTTTTTTTTTTAACTGGGAGTAGAACCCTGGACCTTGTGTATGCTGGGCAAGTGCTCCCGAACTACCGCACCCCCACCCTTTTTAAATTCTGAGACAAGGCCTTAGTTGCTGACCTCACACTTGGGATGTCTGTCCCGCCTCAGGCCTAAGTATATGGGATTATAGGTGTGTGCCACACCCAGCTTCACATCTCCTTTTTTGACTCTGGTTTTCTTTGTTTGTTGTTTGTTAGTCGGTGCTGAGAATGGAACCCAGAGCCTAGCTACACCCACCCCACCTTTTGACTCTTGATAAGGATGATAGTGAACCCAGACAGGAAAGCCAGGATATTTCCTATCTCAAAATCCTTGGCCTTAATTTAGCAAAGTCCTGTGTGCCACGGAAGATAACGGATGCACAGGTTCCAGGGACCAGTGCATGCAGAGCACAGGGACTCTGATTCCTTGTCACAGAGGGTCTCAGTGGGGGTTAAGTGAAGGCATGCAGCTCAAGTGCCTGCAGAGCCCAGGATGCACTGTGCACTCAGCTGGCACCAGCTGCCAGGGGATACCAAGCTGGCCACCAGGTCTGTGGAACCAGGGTCCTGGTCTCTGCTCCTCCCAACCCACCCTACTCCTTTCTCTACTCCAGACCCTGAAGAACCACTGGCTCCAGCAATATAGCCAGGAATCGGCAAACCCAGGGATCCTCGTGCTCCTGGCCTGCGGTACCATCTCCAGCACCTGTGGCCAGATAGCCAGTTACCCCCTGGCCCTGGTCCGGACCCGCATGCAGGCCCAAGGTGAGGCCTGGGTGGGAGGATGGAGCAGGGGAGTGGCCAGCTGGGGTCCACCTTCTCTTCCCCAGCTCCTCACAGGTGGAGTCCTAGGCTGGAGTCCTCCTGGATTTGAATGGCCTTGATAAGTCCTGCCCCTTCTCTGGGCCTCAGTTTACTCACTGGTGACTTTGAAAGGGGAGTCCTTTATCCACAAGAAACTGAGGATTAACTAGCAGAACAGATGCAAGAGTTCTGGCAAAGCTCCCTAGCAATGGTAGCCAGAGGCTGCTACTGGCCATTGTGGAGCCTTTCTGGGCTGGTAACTTGAGCTCCTATTTGCAAGGTTGAGTTATAGCAAGGCCAGGTTGGGGAGAGGCTAAGAACCTGGGTTAAGGAAATTCAGGATCAGGCTGTTTGTTGTTTTTCTCTGAAATTTTCTTTTATGGATTCTTTTCCCCGTCCCTGAATCTGTTTTAAGAATTTCCTTGGGAATTTTAGCAATTGTATTTTGTGATACCAGGGAGGTATGAGTGAATGAGACAGACATGGTCCCCACCTTCATGGAGTTCAGGCTGGAGAGGAAGAAAGATGCTAAATAAATCATTCCATAATTAACCTTTGGTTAAGGGTTGAATAAGGGGAGGAAGAGGATCCTGACTTGGACTGGGGTGCCAGGGAGGGCCCCCTTAAGAGCTGGCTTTGGAATAGAGGTTGGGAAGATGACTAGCAGTTAGCCAGAAGAGAAGGGCGTTGACTTCCAGGACTAGGGCATTTCTAGCTCCTCCCACCACACATACTGCACACCCACTCCATTTCAATTTATCCCCAAATTGGGGCCCTCAAGATTGACAGCCAGTTTCAAGTACCATAGAAGTCCTGACTCTGGCCAGGGCGTTGCTCAGTGGGAGAGTGCTTGCCTAGCATGCACAACGCCATGGTTCCCTCCGAGCACTGTGGGGGGCACTAAAAAGTCCTGATTCAGTGGTAGGTCCAACTTCTAGTCTAGCCTCTCCTTCCTGTGGCAGTGGCCACCTGGCCCAGCCCTGAGGGGTAAAAGGGAGAAGGGAAGGAGGAGCTTCAGCCTCACCTGGTCCCCCACCCCCTCCCAGCCTCCATCGAGGGCTCCCCGCAGCTCTCCATGATGAGTCTGCTCCGCCACATCCTGTCCCAGGAGGGAGTGTGGGGCCTCTACCGGGGCATTGCCCCCAACTTCATGAAGGTCATTCCAGCTGTGAGCATCTCCTATGTGGTCTACGAGAACATGAAGCAGGCCCTGGGGGTCACGTCCAGGTGAGGGACCCAGAGCCCATCCCTCCCCCAAGATCCGTCACTCCAGTCATGATGTCCCCCAGATTGATGTCCTTGGCCACAGGAGACCAGTGGCCCAATCAATGGATCCTAGTTCCCCTGCCTAAACCACTGATCCCTACACACCAGCCACAGGATCCCAGTACCCGAATCCTGGATCCTCAACCCCCAGACCCCAATCACTGAATCACAGGGTCCCCACACTTTGACCATGGATCCCAATACTCCAACTCTAGATCTCAGATCCCTGTACCCCAACTGCTGGATCCCACACTTCAGCAACCTAAATCTAATACCTGAACCACAAGATCCAGAATGACCAACACCTCAGCCCTTCATCCCCTCCTTCCCAGACCCCTAGATCCTGCATTCCTACGCTCCAAAAGTGGATCCTATGTTTCCCTGCCCCACCCACTGGGTCCTGGACCTCCACGTCTGAAATCACTAGATCCCCCACAACGTGGTGAATGGATCCCAATCCCCAGCCACAGGAATGTACATCCCTATACCTCATCACCCTGACCCCAGCTCCCTCAGGTACCAGATCCAGTGTCCTTGTGTAGCACTGGGTCCCAGATCCCCAACCCCACTGGCGAATCACAGATCGCCATGCCTCAAGCCCCGTCTCCAAGCTCAGCCGCTGGATTCTGGATGTCAAGAAACCTCAGCCACCGGATCCTGACAGTGCAATGCCTGGATCCTGGGCCCCCCCCCCCCCCACTGGATCCAGATCCCCTGACCCCAGCCACTGGATTCTGATTCCTTTACCTTGACACTGAGTCCCAGATCCTTCTGCTTCGACGGCTGGACCCCTACATTTCAAGCACTGTGCCCTCTGGCCCTTACCACTGGATCTTGGATTCCCAAGTCCCAACCCACTGGATTCTGGCTCCTAAAACCACAAATGTGGGCACAACAGCACAGCAAGCGGGTCCTGGCAGGTGCAGCTGCTGGAGTCCAGATTTCAGACAGTCCCCACACCCAGTCCTGCCAGCACTGGATCCCACGCCTGGACCCTTACCTCCCAAATGCTCAGACCCCCAGTCTAGATCCCAAAAGGCCAATCACCGCACCGTGATCCCACATGTCCCCATCCCAGAGACACACTGCAGCTTACCATGGCTCAGGATCACACAGACCAGGGAGACCTGGGGAGGCCCAGCTGCCAGCTCCAGAGAACCCAGGGGCTCTTTCCCATGTCTTCATGTAGCTCATGGCCAGGCGGCAAGAGAGGAGATGTGTCTCCTGTGACTGCATGGATGCTTGACCCCCCACCCAGCATGGACACCCCTCTTGGCCCTGTGGGGCTATTGCTCCCTCAGACCACCCCACCCCCACCCTGCAGCATCTCCCCCCTCCCACCTGATCAGCTCATAACCCCAGAGCCTAAGTCCCTCTGGAGGGCCCGGCCTCTTGTTCTTAGGGGCTGGCAAACAGGCAGTCTGAGACCAGAGACTTTCGGGGGATCCCCCATCCTAGCACTGCCAGCCCTTCCAGGGCTTCAAAGATTTGCGAGCCAGGAACAAATCCTCATCGACCACCCTTCCCTACACTCGAGCATCCAATTATACAAAACCAAACAAAAAACCCAAACCCCCAAACTCACTCCAGGTCTATTTTTCTATCAGAGAGAGGAGCAAACCCCCCACCCCCAAACCCAAGCCCCCAACTCCCGCTTCCCCAGACCTCCTGCACTTTATTGTTGGATTCTGAGCTTAGGATGATGGGGCCCCTCTCTCCACTGCTACCCAGTGCTTGGGGAACCCCATTAAGGGACGGTGAAAGAGGACTGGGATGTTGGGGCCTAGAGGACCATCCCTCCCGGCTTCCACCTCCCTCCACCGACACTTGCCCCCTCCCTGCCTGTGTGTTATTTCAAAGGAAAAGAACAAAAGGAATAAATTTTCTAAGCTCTTTCATTGTATTTTCTTTTCTGAAAAGAGGTGGGTGGATTTGGGACCCCATCTACCCAGAGGGAAGGGACATGGGACTGTTTCTCATCTCATGCACACACACAGCTCCAAGGGACGGGCAGTGACTCCGTCTCGAGCCTCGGTTTCTACCTCTGTCTGTGAAGCAGTAGCAGGAGGGAGTCTACCTCATGGCCTCTTCTATTTTTCTGTTTTCTTTCTTGATTCTACATGTGCATTCGTTTTCTGTCATATTACCACAAACCAAGTGGTTTAAAAAATAAAATTTGTTAAAACATGTTTATTGTGATAAAATATACATGACATAAAACGTACCATCTTGCCAGGTGCAGGGGCACATGCCTGTAATCCCAGTGGCTTAGGAAGCTGAGGCAGGAGGATCCCAAGTTTAAAGCCAGCCTCAGAAACTTAGTGAGGCCCTAGGCAACTTAGCAAGACCCTGTCTCAAAATATAAAAAGGGCTGGGGATGTGATTCAGTGGTTAAATGCCCCTGGATTCAATCCCTAGTACCAAAATAATAATAATAACTTTAAAAATAAAACTTTCTCTATTTACCAAGTTTAAGTTCACAATCCAGTGGCATTAAGTGCTCTCACGATGCTCTGCAGCTGTCCCCACCATCCATTTCCAGAACTTCCCATCTCCCCAAACTGAAGCTCTCGCTCCTTCAACACTAACTTCTAGCCTCTCCCCAACTCCCTGTTCTCCCTGGATCTCAACTCCAGGGTCCTCCTGTGGGTGGATCCTGCAGTGTGCGTGATGTGGCCTTCTGTGTCCGGCTCATTTCCCTGAGCACAGTGTCCTCAAGGTCAATCACAAAGTAACGTATTTCAGAACCCCTTCCTTTTTCTGGCTGAATACTACTCAGCTGTGTGAGTGGACCAAACAGTATGTATCCCTTCATCCATCAATGGACCCCCTACCATTTGGCTACTGTGAATAAAACAGAAATTCATCTGTGACAATTCAGGAGGCTGGGAGTCTGAAAGCAAGACCTTGGCTGGGGACATTCTCCCCACAGTTTTCTGGCAGACTGCAGTCCTTGGTGCTCCTTGGCTTAGGAAGGTATCACTCCCAGACCTGCCTGCCCTCCCGTGGCCCTCTCCCTCATGTCTGCGTTTCTGTGTCTAAATTCTCCTCTTCTTGTAATGATGCTGTCACTAGATTGGAGCCCCCCGCCCTGAACTCACTTTATCTTGATTACATCTACAAAGACCCTCTTTTCCAAATACAGTGACATTCCCAGGTTCCAGAGCTTAGACCTTCAGAACTTCTTTTGGGGCATACAGTTCCACCCACAACAACAAGTAATTTGAATTCATTGTAGAAAGCAATAAAAAATTTATACTATATATAGAAATAGATTAATGATTGATAGATACATAATCAGTACATAAATGCATTGTGATAGGACTACAGTTGGCTCTCTATATCTATGTTTTGCATCCATGGACTCAACCAACCTTACATGGAAATATTCAGGAAATTTGCATCTGAATCTAACATACATGAATATTTTTTTGGTTGGTATCCTTAGGCAAGACAGTATTTCAACTACCTACATAGCACTTACATTGTGCTAGATGTTATAAGTCATTGAGAGATGGTTTCATGTTTAAGGAGCATGTACAGAAATTCTATGCAAATAACCCACAATTCTATATAAAAACTTGAGCATGCACTGATTTTGGTACATGCAGGGGCTTCTGGAACTGACTCTCCAGGGGTTCTGAGTGACAACTGCACAGTCTCGAGGTTAAGCTATAAAAGACAATGCAGCTACCATCTTGGACTCTCCCTTCCTCGCTCTCATGTCATTTACTCTGAAATAAGACAGCTGTCAGGTCCTGAGCAGCCTTATGGAGAAGCCCATACAGTGGGGAACCCCAGCCAATAGCTACGGAAGTGCACTTGGACTTGAACACTTCTTTTGAGGGTATATAATTTAACCCACAACAATGAATTATACAAATTCACTGTAGGAAAAAAAATAGAAAATTCAGAATATAGAAAGAGATAATTGATAGATGATAGAAAATAGATGATTGATTGATAGATAGACAGACAGACAGACAGGAAGAAGATCCAGATTGCAGCCTTGTGAGACACCCTGGATAATCCAAACACTGCAGACCCTCTCACTGGCTGCCAATACCCAAATCCTGAACTTTATATCCTTATACTTCAAACACTGGAACACCCTAGTAAGCAGCTCCTGAATTCCTGGTGCTCAGAAACTGGATGAGATGATAAATGTCACTGTAAGCTGCTGAGTTCTGGGGTGATTTGTTACAAAGCAATAGCTAGACAATATAGATGCACTTATGTACATATGACTTTCCATGCATTCAAAGAAGAGATCAGGGAGTGGGTTTAAAGAATATATAATGGATTAAATCTTGCTAACTATTTTGTGGGGTTTTTTTTTCTATTTTGTGTTTTTACTTTCTTTAAATTATGTTCCTAGGATCACTTTCCACAAGTGCAGTCACTGGGTCAAAGGACATGGCTCTCTTGGGACCATGCCACCAAAAGAACTGTACACAACATTACAGCTACCAACAAGAGTTGGCATTTTTAACAGCAGCTACCCAGGCACTGAGTGTTAATTGTATTTGATGGGGATAATTAACATCTGCTTTCCTGTCCATATTCTTATATCCCACGATAATGTGGCTGAGATTTAGGAGGCTTAGCTAACCAACATGCAGCATGAATTGGTCAGCTTGCCATCACTAGAACAAACACCTGAGACAATCAACTTATGAGAAAAGTCTTAGCACATGCCTGTCATGCCAGACACTCAAGAGATTGAGGCAAGAGGGTCACAGGTTCCAGGCCAACCTTGGCAACTTAGGGAGACCGTGTCTCCAAATAAAAAATAGAAAGGACTAGGGACGTGGCTCAGCAGAATAGCCCCCCTAGGTTCCATCCCCAGGTCTGCAAAATAAAAAAGGAAGGGGCCAGGTGCAGTGGCCATGCCTGTAATGCCAGCCACTGGGGAGGCTGAGGCAGGAGGATCACAAATTCAAAGCAGCCTTAGCAATTTAGCAAGGCTCCACACAATTTAGCGAGACTCTCTCTCAAAATTAAAAAAATATATATAAAGGGGTGGGGAAGTGCCTCAGTAGTTAAGCACCTCGGGTTCAATCCCTGGTACCAATAATAAATAAATAAAGGGGGGGGGAGGGGAAGCCTTGTTTTGGCTCTTGTTTTGCAGGTTTTGGTCTGTGATCAGCTGGCCCATTGCCTTGGGCCTGGAGTGGCACATCACGGTGGAGAGCCTGGTGGCGCAACACTGCACACCTCATGTCAGGGAAGTGGAAGAGAGAAGGAGAAGAGATGGGCCTCCCATGAGCCCCTTTGAGGGCACACCCCCAATGACTGGAAGACCTCCCATCAGGCCGCACTTCTTACAGGTTCTGCCACTTCCCAACAGAGCCACCCTGGGGACCAAGCTTTCACCACATGGTCTTTGTGAGACACTTAAGATTCAGATCATAGCCAGGCCCAGTGGTGCACACCCAAAATCCCAGCAGCTCAGGAGGCTGAGGCAGGAGGATCACGAGCAGAAGGTCAGGCTCAGCAAATGAGTGAGGCTGTCAGCAACTTAGCAAGACCCTGCCTCAAAATAAAGAAAGAAAGAAAAAGGGCTGGGATGTGGCTCGGTGGTTAAGCACTTCTGGGTTCAATCCCCGGACCAAGAAAAAAATCCGTATCATAGCAGATGGACTCATTTTCTCTTTCTAAAACTCAGTTTCCTTTGACATCATTTCAGGGAAAAGAACTTACACTTATTGAGCAAGTACCACGTGCCTCATGCTGTACTGAGTAAGGCCTTTCATGTGTTATTCATGTTAATCAAACACTTACTATGTGCTAGATTCAGTTCTAAATATGGGATTATAGAAGTGGATGACAAAACAGACAAAAGTCTCTGTTCTGGCAGAATGAGATTGACCAAGTTATGCTGTGTACATCCATGAATGCACCACAGTGAGCTCCGCCTTTATGGACATCTACAAAGCACCAATAACAAATGATAAACCAATAGAGGAAGACCAATAGACTTAAAGAAGGGAACTGGGGAGAGAGGAAGGGAGGGAAAGGGGAAGGACTGAGGACTGGAATGGAACAAATTATATTCCATGTTTGTATGATGATGTCAAAATGAACCCCAATATGATGCATAACTAAAATGCACTAATAAAAACTTTCTTGCCGGGCGCAGTGGCGCATGCCTATAATCCTAGCAGCTCGGAGGCTGAGACAAGGAGGATCGCTAGTTCAAAGCCAGCCTCAGCAACGGGGAGGCGCTAAGCAACTCAGAGAGACCCTGTCTCTAAATAAAATACAGAATAAGGCTGGGATGTGGCTCAGTGGCCGAGCGCCCCTGAGTTAATTCTTGGTACAGAGAAAAAAATTCTTAAAATATTTGTCCTCACAGACTCTACACTCCAGTGAGGAGAGACCAAGAGCACAGGAGGATTAGCTATGGAGTGGCAGGAAGCAGAGGCAGAAAGGAGAAACATAAAAGAGGGAAAGGGAATAATAAATGATGCAGAGTTTAAAGTTTCATCAGGTCGACCCAGAGGCCTCCTAAGAAGGTGACTTGTGAGTGAAGGTTAAAGGTGGGGAGGGAGAGCGCCATGGGATGTCCAAGGAAGAACATTCCAGGCAGCGAACACAGCCCATGCAAAGGCCCTAGGGCAGGGCATGTTGGTGGCACAGAGAGGCACCTGTGTGGCTGGAGCAGAGGCAGCAAGAAAGAAAAGAAGAAGGGGGAGGCAGGGAGAGGACGGGGCAGGTTGTGCAGCGCCCTGTGGGCTCCAGGGAGGACCTGGGCTTGGACCTAGAGGGAGGGGAGCCAGGCAGGGCTGTAGCAGAGGAGAAGGCCCCTGATTCAGGTGCTCACAGGTGCCCTTTGCTGCAATGTGGAGGACGGGTCATGGCAGGGTGATGGCAGGGGCTGGGACCAGAGCCATGGGGATTGCACTAGTCCAGAGGAGCAAGTGGTGGGGTGGTAGGAAGCAGGAGACTCTGGATATGTTCCAGATGTTAACCAACAGAATCTGATGGGAGTGTGGACTTGGAAGAGAGAAAGAACTCAAGGATGGGGGCTGGGGCTGGGGCTCAGTGGCAGAGCGCTTGCCTCGCACACGTGAGGCTCTGGGTTCAATCCTCAGCACCACATGAAAGTAAATAAATGAAATAAAACTCACTCAAGGATTCAGTCGAATTTTTGACCTGAACAACTCAGAGGATGGAGGTATCCTCAACTAAGACTCTCATTAGATTCTACTGACAAAGCTACACAGTAGAGTTGACTATTTATCATTCTCTCCAATTTCCAGAGGAGGAAACTAATGCCCAGAGAAAGAGAGTGTAAACATACCTCAAGATTACACAGTAAGCCAGGTATGGTGGCGCACACTTGTCATCCCAGCAGCTCAGGAGGCTGAGGCAGGAAGATAGTGGGTTCAAAGCCAGCCTCAGCAACAGTGAGGTGCTAAGCAACTGAGGCAACTGAGACCCTGTTTCTGAATAAAATACAAAATAGGGCTGGGGATATGGCTCAGTGGTCAAGTACCCAAATCTAATCCCCAGTACCAAAAAAAAAAAAAAAGATTATTTAGCAAGAAGCCAGGCATGATGGTGCGCATCTGAGTTGCCCCATAGCAACTCGGGAGGCTGAGGTTGGAGAACCACAAGTTCAAGGCCCGCCTGGAAAACACAGAAAGACTCTGTCTCAAAAATTAAAAAGGGCTGGTGGTGCAGTTCAGTGGCAGAGCGTTTGTCTACATGCTTGAGGTGCTGGGTTCTATGCCCAGCATTACAAAGGAAAAAAAAGATCACTCAGCAAGAAGCAATCAAGATGGGAGTCAAAGCCAGGTCCCTCTGACCCCAAACCTATCCTTGTCTTATTTTGGGGACCAACCATGTACTTCTGTACTCTAGGTCCCCAGACCTTTCTGTGGTCCCTCTGTTCCCTCTCCTATTGCCATGGCAACAACAACAAAAAGAAAAAAACAGCAGGAGTTCTTCAGGTGACCACAGACCTGCTGGGTGGCTGGAAACAAGACAAATGCATGGCTTTGGAGGTCGGAATTCAGCAATCAGCTATGGATCTTGCTGGACAGGAATCGAGGCATTGGCAGGATTTGTCCCTTCTGGAGGCCCTAAGGGTGAATCTGTGTCCCACCTTCTCCAGCTCCTAGAGGTGCCTGCATTCTTGGCTTGTGGCTCCTCCCTCCATCTCTGAAGCCAGCATGGCTGGTCCAGCTGTTCATACATCTCATCCCCTGACGTTGCCTCTCCTACCTGCCGGTCCACACTTCAGATTCATGAGGTTACACCTGGCCCACCCCATTGATCTAGAATGACCTTCCCATCCCCCATCATCTGCTTAGCAACTTCAATACCATCCGCAAACATAATTCCCCCTTCCCAGGTAACAATCTGTCTTGTTGGCTCAGGCTGCTATAATGAAATACCACAGACTCGGTGGCTTAACCAACAGGCATTTATTCCTCACGGTTCTGGAGGCTGGAGTCCAAGATCAGGCTGGTTCAGTTCCTGGTGAGGGCTCTCTCTTCCTGGCTTGCAGAGGGCTGCCTTTGTGCTATGTCCTCATGGTGAAGAGAGGGACAAAGCTCTAGTCTCGCCTTGTTTTCCTATAAGGGCATTAACCCACCTTAGAGGCCACCCCCCCATGATCCCATCTGATGTCATTACTACCAAAGGCCCTACCTCCAGCTTCCATCCCACAGGAAGTTAGGGCTTCAACATAAGAATGTCATCAGGACACCATTCAGTTCAGTTATATATTCACAGGTTTCAGGGATTAAGATGTGGACATTTGGGGGAAAGGATAGATTACCATTCTGCCTACCACACCCCGTGAGGTCACAAGGGCCTCCGTGACCTCATCATCCCTAGGACCCAAATTTACAAGACATTCCCACTAGCCACTCCCACATGACAGCTGGTTAGACTCCCCCAGGGATGTGAGCCCCAGGTGTCCTAACCTCCAGCTGCCATGGGAGTTGATCCTGAAGAAACCGAGAAGCCTTGCTCTAGGGTCCAGACCCTGTTTAGGAGGGTTAAGACCCTACTCGCTGAAGCGCCACCCCCACCCCTGCCCCCGCCCCCACTCCCACCCCCACCCCCCTCCTGGAACCCAGGCTGCGCACACGTGTATGGCTACGTATTTGGGCATGTGCTTGAAAACAACCTGGAACATCTCCCGTCACAGCCGGTGAGTTTGGAAACCACAGGGGTCCTGTGTCTCCAACCTGGACCACAAGGACAGGGAGACAGTTATGCTGCCCATGCCCCATGTGGGGGCCACACAGACCTAGAATGAGCCACATTGAAATGGGGGGGGGCATCAGGGAGGAATCTTACCCAGGAGGATTTCCCAGAGACGTGCCCAGGGAAGGAGCTCCAGCATCGCTGCGCATGGGCAAGGGTTGGGTCTGCCCAGCAGGTGCTGGACACGGGGGAGCAGCTGATGGTCCCCGTGGAGGTGCTGGAAGTGGGCGGCGAGGGGGCCTTGTGGAAGTTCCTGCTGTTGGGGGCCATGGCTGGGGCAGTGTCTCGCACAGGCACAGCCCCTCTGGACCGCGCCAAGGTATACATGCAGGTAGGTGAGCCACTGGGCACAGGACGTGGTGGGGGTGCAATGGTACTGCAGGAGGTAGGGCTAGGAGTAGGGCTGGAACAGGGCTCTCACGGGGTACTGCTGGGCCTGGTCTGGGAAGTGACACAGCTGGTGTGGATGGGACACAGAGATATGTTGGGGACCAGGGAGGGGAGTCAGATGGCACAGGGTCAACCCTGAGCCAGGGTCAGCTCAGAGATCAGGGAGCTGGGGACAGGTTCTTCAGATGGGTTTGAAAAGTGAATAAGAGTGGAGAAAAGATGGAGATGAGGGAAGAGACAGGAAGGTGGGTCAGCCCTGGGGTCTGGGTGGGGGTAGGACTAGCTAGGGACAGAACCGGAGAAGCCAGGGGTACTTGGGCATGAAGAGGGAGGGGTGGCCCCCCAATAGAGCTCTGCAGAGTTCCCCACAGGGTCCTCCTGGGTCCTCCCTCCCCAGGTCTACTCCTCCAAGACTAACTTCATGAACCTGCTGGGGGGGCTGCGGAGCATGGTCCAGGAGGGCGGTGTCCGGTCCCTGTGGCGTGGCAATGGCATCAACGTCCTCAAGATCGCCCCTGAGTACGCCATCAAGTTCTCTGTCTTTGAGCAGGTGGGGAATGGTCGGCTTTCCCCAGTTTGGGTCCAAGCCCCTCCCACCCCTCTCCCAAAAGCCCCGAACTCACCCAAGACAGCATTCCACCCTCCAGGCTCCAGGCGGCTCCCTGGATGGCTTCAGTAGGAGGTGGCTGGCTCGCTCTCACGTGCCTCTCTCCCATCCCAGTGTAAGAATTACTTCTGTGGAGTACATGGGTCCCCACCCTTTCAGGAACGGCTCCTCGCTGGCTCCCTGGCTGTGGCCATCTCTCAGACACTCATCAACCCTGTGGAGGTAAGAGGGTGTCTGTGCCGGGGAGGAGGCCACGGCAGAGCCGCACTGCAGCCTCCCCCTCCGCCTCCTCCCTGTTCCTCTCCTTTTACTTTTCCTTCCTTCTCCCCCTCCTCCTTCCCTTGCCTCCTTTTCCTCTTTCCTCCTCCTCCTTCCAATCTTCCTCCTTCCTCCTCCTTTTCTTTTAATTTTTTTTTTAAACACAGAGAGAGTTTAAATATTTATTTTTCGGCGGACACAACATCTTTGTTTGTATGTGGTGCTGAGGATCGAACCCGGGCCCCACGCATGCCAGGCGAGCGTGCTACCGCTGGAGCCACATCCCCAGCCCCCTTTTTCTTTTCTTTCTTTTTTTGGTACTGGGGATGGACTCCAGGGACACTTTACCACTGAGCCCCATCTCCTGCCCTTTTTATTTGTGTTTTTGGTCCAGGGATCGAACCCAGAGGTGCTTTACCACTGGCCACATCCACAGGCCTTTTTCATTTCTGATTTTGAGACAAGGTCTTGCTGAATTGCACAAGCTGGCCTTGAACTTGCGATCCTCTCACTTTCCCTCCTGGGTTACAGGTGTGGCCACTGCACCGGGCTCTCCTTTTTCTTTTTTCTTTTTTTTAATATTTATTTTTTAGTTGTGGTTGGACACAATATGTTTTTATTTATTTATTTATTTTTATGTGGTGCTAAGAATCAAACCCAGGGCCTCGCGCGTGCTAGGCGAGCTCTCTACCTCTGTCCCCTTTTCTCTTGATGTGAGTCACGCATCAGTTCCCAGTCACCTCAACACCTTTCACTGGATGGTGCGTTCTCTTTTTTTTTAAGTTGTAGATAGACTATAATACCCTAATTTATTTCCTTATTATGTGGTGCTGAGCATTGAACCCACACCTCACACACGCTAGGAAAGCTCTCTACCACTGAGCCCCAGCCCCAGCCGTGGATGGTGCATTCTGTATCCCCAAAGAGCCAAGATGCCACTTTGTCATTTACTAAATTCCCATATGAACTTGGGGTCATTTCTGTCTTTCTCTTCTTGTTGCTCTGCTGTCTGTTCATATACTATTGTCGTCTTCTTCTCTTTTTTTTTTTAGTAAACAGACTATTTTTAGAGTAGTTTTAGGTTTTCAAAAAAAATGGAGGAGAAAGTACGGAGAGTCCACATCCACCATCCTGTCCCTGGGCAGTTTCCTCTGGTTTAACATCTTGCACCAGTGGTAACTGTTACAATCAATGAACCCACGCTGACACATTATTGTAACAAAAGCCCATCCTTCACCTTAGGGGCCTTCTGTGCTTTAGAGTTTTAAGGAGTTTGACAAATGCACAATGATGTGTCCACTGCCCTAAAAAGAGCTCTGCTTTCTACCAATGTCCCCCTCTCTCCTCCTCAATTCCTGGCCACAGTCATCTTTTGACCCCAACATAGCTGTGCCTTTGGTGTTTTGTTTTGGAGATCTGAAGCTCCCTTCTCTGCCCTTCATCAGTACCCAGGCTGTCCTCCCATGCTGATGTTCCCATACAAACTTTGGAGTCCGTCTGGGTAAATAAAACCCTGTGGCATTTGTTTTTTCGTGGGATGATGCTTGATTTACACATAAGCTCAGAAAGTGAGCCTACCAATTTGAGTGATGTGGAGTCTACCAACTTGCCTTAGTCTGTCTTCCCTTGCTATGACAGAATACCTGAGCTAGGACAATTTGTAAAGAATAGGGATTTATTTTGGCTCATGGTGCTGGAGGCTAGAAGTCCAAGGTCTGGCAGCTACATCCGGTGAGTACCTCCTGAGGCACTGAAACATGGCAAAAAAGCAGCAGGGCCAGTGGGCAAAACACAAGGGTCATAGAACAATCACTTTTTTTACGGTGGTGGTATGGGGATTGACCCCAAGGGGCTCTACCACTATTTTTTGAGACAGGGTCTTTCTAAGTTACTGAGGCTGGCCTGGAACTTGCCATCCTCCTGACTCAGCCTCCTCCCGAGTCACTGCACCCAGCTAACAATTCAGTAACTAATCCGGTCCCCAGAGGACGCCACTAACTCCTCTTAACAACCACCTACCTCGAAGCATTCCCACCACTCTCAATATGATTCCCTTGGCAACTTTTCTCTTTAAATTTCAACCTGAGTTTCAGGGGGTCAAACCACATTGAAACCTTAGCAGTAGCCAACAACATTCCACTCCTTCACCTCGCTCCACACTCTTTTCAGGGCATCCTAAAGTTTTCTTCCTATAGTTCTTGCCCTAAGTCTGTCTCCTGTAGCCTAAGCACATTAGTTTCCTATTGCTTTGTAACACATTGCTACAAACAGCATTTAAAATGACAACAATGATTTCTTATCTGTTTCTGTGGGTTATGTCTGGGCACCAATTAGTCGGGTCTTTGCTTAAGGTCTCATCAGGTAGAAATCAAGGTGTCAACTGGGCCACAAAGAAAACTCATCTGAGCTCAGGTCTTTTTCCAAGCTTCCTGCTTGTTAGCAAGATTTCTTTCTTTCTTTTTCAGTACTGGGGACAGAACGTAGGAGCAGTCCACCACTGAGCTACATCCCTACAACTTTTTTTCCCCTAAACAAGGTCTTCAGTTGCCCAAGCCAGTTCTGGACTTGTGATTCTTCTGCCTCAGGCTTCCAAATAGCTGGGATTATAGGTGTGTGCCACTGTGCCAGGCAGGATTCAGTTTACTACATTAGCCTGTTTTCTGTTGGTACAACCAAATACCTGAGGCTTAGATGATAAAGAGAAGAGGTTTATTTAGCTCACAGTATTGGAGGTTCAAGAGCATCGTGCTGGCATAGCTTGGTGCTGGTGAGGGCTCCTATGTCATGGCTGGTAAGGGCTTTCTGTTGCTTTAATAATAAAATACCTGAGATAATTAATTTAAAAAGAGAAAAGTTGCACAGCACTTGGCTAGCACAGGTGAGGCCCTGAGTTCCATCTGGGCACCACAGAGAGACGGATGGAGAGAGTTGGTTTGGTTTGGTTCACAGTTCAGCGGTTCCGCCTATGGTCAGGCAGGCCCACGGCCTTCAGGCCTCCTGTGAGAGCCCATGGCAATGAAGGGAGCTCAGGGCAGAAGAGCGGCCAGGGCCCACCAACCCTCGGGCACATCACAGCTGCCTAAGGCCCCACCTCCTGAAAGTTCCCTGACTGCCCAGTAGCACTGCCCTGGGGCCAAGCTTGTCGTACATGGACCTTTGGGGGACACTTAGCAAAACAGCCCCCTTGGCTGAGTCACATGGCTCATGGCATGGTGAGAGACAGGAGCCAGAGGGCAGGTGGGCCCATCCTCCTCTTGGGAACTGATCAGGGACCGCGGGAGCTCCATCCCTCCCCAGGGCCGAATCCTCAGTCATCCAACTGCCTGCCCCTGGGCTCCAGGGCTTGCAGGGCCCACCACCTGTCAACGTTCCCCTCTGAGGACTAAGCTCCCAACACTCAAACCACATCCAAACCAAAGCACCCTGGCCACAGACCAAGGTCCTCGGAGGCCTGTCCCTGTCAGATGGCCCTCTCCACACACGGCAGGTTTGCTGCTTTACAACCAAGACAAGGGCCTGGGGGTGTGGCTCAGTGGCAGACCACTCGCCTAGCACCGTGGGAATCCGTGGGTTCAATTCTCAGAAAGGCAAAACGATTCGAAAAACCAATCTTCGGTTTCTTGGACAACAGATACTCACTGAGAGCACTCGTCTGATTAGGTGAGGATCACTCCAGAAAATTTCTTTTGATTACCTTAAAATCGACTGATTAGGTCCTTCAATTATATAAACAAAATCCCTTCATGTTTGCCTTATACTGTAACCTAGTCAGAAGAGCAAAACCCTGTCCTAGTCAGGAGGGCAGTGTCGTACAGGGCATGCGCACTGTGGCGGGAATCGGAGAGTGCCTTCGTAGGTTTTCATCAGTAAAATAAGACACCTGAGGCCCTGTAACTTAATAAGGAAAAGGTTTATTCAGCTCACTGTTCTGGAGGTCCAAAGCTTCCAACAGGGTGACAGCCTTCTTGCTAGCAGCCTTGGACCTTGAGAGCCTGCCTAGAGGTTCTGGCAGGAAGCACAGCTACTTGAAGGGGCTAGGGCTAGGGCACTGGTCCTCCTCCTCAGGGAAAGTCCTCCTCAACCCAGTGCACAGCTTTAGGAGGGACACACATGGAGAAGAGAGAAAGCAAGGGCGCACCCACCTCGATAGGCGGATCAGCAGATCAGCCCTGGCAGAGGGGTGGCAGATGTCACAGCCAGATTGCTTCACATGCCTGGCAGTCTTTGTGTGCCCAGGGCATCATACAGTGCAAGCCAGGGAGCGTGTGTGTGTGTGTGTGTGTGTGTGTGTGTGTGTGTTCTGGTCTCTCTTCCTCCTTTTTTTTTTAATGGTACCAGGGATTGAACCCAGGGGCACTTGGCACTTAGCCCTGAGCCGCATCCCCTTTTTTACAGCACTTTTTTACATTTTATTTAGAGACAGGGTCTCACTAAATTGCTTAGGGCCTCGCTAAGCTGCTGAGGCTGGCTTTAAACTTGTGATCACCTGCCTCAGCCTTCTGAGCCACTGGGATTACAGGTGTGTGCCATTGTTACTTCTTATGAAGCCACCAAAATTCATTCATGGGCCCCACACTGGTGACCTCATCTATTCCTAACCATCTCCCACACAGGTCCCACCTCTAAACATCATGGTTGGATTCAAGGTTCCCACCCTCTTAATACCTCACGATAGAGATTAAATATCAAGACACTGATGCCCCTGGAAGCCCTCAAACCATACCCAACCATCCTAGGGACCACCTCACAACATTCCCTGCCATACCAGCTGTCAATCTTTCACAGGACTGTATCGTCAGGCACTTTAACAGTGCAGTGTTTTGTAAAAATTCCAACTTCTGGCTTCTACAAATTGGTGAATCTGGCCCTCTGGGGCCTGCATGCATAGTGCAGCAGTAGCTGGCACAGGCCTCACGTGGCTCTTGTCACCTTCCTTGCCCTCTTTGTGCGTTACCACATGAGCTTCTGAGCCCAACATTCAGGAGCAGGCGCAGCAGGGAATATGACAGATCTGGGTTCTAATCCACTCATTGCACTCCTAGCCTCAGACCCTCATTGTAAGGTGGGGACAATGGCTACTACTGAGGTCTACGAGGAGAATCAAGTCCCATGAGCAGCCTTCCTCCCCCTCTCCCCAGGTGTTGAAGACAAGGCTGACTCTACGCCGCACGGGTCAGTACAAAGGGCTGCTAGACTGTGCCAGGCAGATCTTTGAGCGGGACGGCACCCGTGCCCTTTACCGTGGCTATCTGCCCAACATGCTCAGCATCATCCCCTATGCCTGCACCGACCTGGCTGTCTATGAGGTGTGGTACCACAGAGGAGGAAGTGGGGGGCCTGAGCCCAGGCCCATCATGAGCTCACTCCTTGCCCCTTGCTCTCTTCATTAGTATTTTTAAATGACACATAATTATGCAAATTTACAGGGTCTGGTATGATATTCCAACATATGTATACAATGTGCAATGATCAGATAAGCTACCATTGCTTTGTGTTGGAAACATTAAACATATTGACTTTTTTTTTTTTTTTTTTGTACCAGGGATTGAACCCAAGGGTGTTTATTTAACCACTCAGCCACACCACCAGCCCTTTTTAATTTTTTTTTTAAACTTTGAGACAGGTTCTCACTAGGTTCCTCCTGAGCAACTGGGATAACAGACATGCACCACCACGCCCAGCTCTAATTGCTATTTTGAACAGAAGTTATTCTTCCTGTCCAGCTGCATCCCTATTTCCTATTAATTGTCTTATCTCCATTCTCCTCTCCTTTCCCACTTCCCAGCCTCTGGTAACCACTATTATACTATCTATATCTATCAGATCTATTATTTTAGCTTCCATATGTGAGAACATATGCTATTTGTCTTTCTATATTTGGCTTACTTAACATGATGTCCTCCAGTTCCATCCATGTTGCCGCAAAGGACAGGACTTCATTCTTTTTTATGGCTGCATAATATTCTATTGTGTATATATACGAATATGTACATTTTCATTCACCTATCAGTGGACACCTTGCTTGATTCCCTATCTTGGCTCTTATGAATAGTGCTCTAGCCCTCTTATTTTGCAGATGCTCCAGTGCTTATGGCTGAAGTCAGGAAGGGACATGGAGGACCCCAGTGGCTTGGTCAGTTTGTCATCTGTAACGCTGTCCACAACCTGTGGCCAGATGGCCAGTTATCCTCTGACTTTGGTGCGCACCCGGATGCAGGCACAAGGTCAGCCTGGCCCTAGTGACCACCACAAATGCTCCTTCCCTGACTTACCCCAGTTCTCTGAATTTTCTTACCATCCCAAACTCTCCATATTTGATCCTGGCCATCATTGCTGACCCCTGAACCAACCAAGACTTCTTTCTCATACTCACCCTCAAATCCAATCCCAGTCCTCAAATTAACCCTTTAAAACATCCGTCTCCTAAATGACCCCTCCTAAATAAGTCCACCCAAATGTGACCCAGACTCCCATACTGGTCCCCAAAACAAACACCCCCCACAAAAGACCTCCCAAATCAGACCCATCTCTGTGCTTGCTTTTGTCCCCCACAGACACCGTGGAAGGTTCAAACCCCACCATGCGTGGCGTCTTTCGGCGGATCTTGGCCCAGCAGGGCTGGCCCGGGCTGTACCGAGGCATGACCCCCACGTTGCTAAAGGTGTTGCCAGCGGGTGGCATCAGCTACGTGGTATACGAGGCCATGAAGAAAACCCTGAGTGTATAGGTCGGCAGCTAGATGACAGACAAGGAGGGCAGGAAAGACGCTGGAAGACTTGGTGTCCCTGGGTCCCAAGGGCAGTCCAGGCTAAGGCCCTGGGGCTGTTTTTGGTTGCAAAAGCCAGCTGGGGGCTTGGGTTGGTAGATTGTCAGGACTGCCTCCCCAGGGTACAGTCTGAGACCTGAGTTTGAACTCCAGTCTGGCTTCTGCTGGCTCGTCCTGGCTCCCGGGCTAAAAGGTGCTGTGCAGACAACCAGGAATAAAGACAGAATTTCTGCTGGATGTGTCTGGTAATACCTGGGATCTTTGGGTCCAGGGTTATAGATAGCAACAGGCTCAGATCCCTTATAGGAAGGGAGTAGGGACGGTGGAATTTGGGGCTGGGAAACCCTTGGTCCTAGAAGGGAATAATGTCAGGGAAAGAAATTGATCCCTTCAGTACTGGAAGAGGGTGGGGGCTCCAGGTCCCTGGGTCGAGAAAGAAGGGGGTGCAGGGGACCCCTGGGTTCCCTCATCTCTCAGGCCACTTTACTCGCGGAAGCAACAAATCTGCAAGGCTTCAACCAGGCCACGTGCCAGGCCTATCCAGCCAGGCCCCTAACCTAGACGTCAGGCCTGAGCACCAGCAGCCGGTCACCACCGCCCACATTAGCTGCCATTCACCCCAGCTCCCACTAATCCCCTCTCGCGGAGCGGTGGCAGCTCCGCCCCAATGCAGCTGCACTTCCACTGGCTCCCACCAAAACTGGGCAATTTTACTTTCTTCATTGCCATTTGTCCAGACCAGCATCAGTCACCTAACGCCCGCCCCAGTCATTCAGCCATTGGTTTAGATGTCCGCGCTGGAAAAGGATTCTGGTTAACAAGAAAAGCTAGTCCAAACCCAATCTCGTCACTCAGAACTCGTCAGGAATTGGATTAAATTGACTGTCAAACTTTATAAGCACCTCCCGCCACGCGTATTCATTGGCTTGCCTGCACGACTATCGCGCCGAGCACCTGCCCTGCCGGTCCAAAGGGGTCTTTCGCTAAGCCCCTCCTTCCAGTCCACGTGACTCTTCGGAGACATCAATCTAATTCCGAAACCGCCCCCGCGAATCTGGAACTCACGCTTCATTGGGCTTCCGGCCTTCTTGGATCGCCTCGATTTGCCCGCCCAGCGCCGGGGGTCCGCAGCCCATTGCCTCCTACATCTGTCAGTCACTCGGAATCTCCCGCCCAATGTTTCTCTCAGCACTCCGATTGGCGCCTAGCCTCCGGTTTCCGCGATTGGTGTGCAGCGAGCGATGCGTACCTCTCATTGGCCAGAACACGCCGTCCGTCACGCCGCCGGCGGGAGGGGGCGACCCTCTCCCCGCTCTTCGTCTTCTCAGCCGCTGGGTTCCCAGAGTGCTCCGCGGCCGTGTGGAGCGAGGCCTTGTTCCCGCGTTGAGCCGCCGCCGCCGCCGCCTCCTCCTCAGCTTCAGCCTCCGCGCCAGGCCCGGCCCCGCCGCGCCATGTCGGACTACAGCACTGGAGGACCCCCGCCCGGGCCGCCGCCGCCTGCCGGCGGGGGCGGAGGAGCCGGGGGCGCCGGGGGAGGCCCTCCGCCGGGCCCGCCGGGTGCGGGAGACCGGGGCGGCGGCGGCCCTGGCGGCGGCGGCCCGGGCGGAGGTTCGGCCGGGGGCCCCTCGCAGCCGCCCGGTGGGGGCGGCCCGGGGATCCGCAAGGACGCCTTCGCCGACGCCGTGCAGCGGGCCCGCCAGGTGAGGAGGCCGCGGGCCTGAGGGGCGCGCGCGCGAGGGCGGGGGAGGGGGCGGGGGTCACGTGCGCGCGCGCGGGGTCGCCGGTGGTGGGGGCCGGGGCCGCGGCGGGGTCACGTGGGTGTCAGGCTGGGGGCCTGGCCCTTCCTCTGTGTCTCCAGTGGGTTCCTCGCGGGTGACCCCCCCAGCAGGGGGTAGGGGCATACTGGGGGTACCATGAGCGGCCCCTGGGTGTTCAGGGGCCCCAGAGCCCTGGAACTCACTTTGGGACTCCCCCTTAGGACACACGAAAGCATGTTCCACTTTCCTGGAGGCCAAGGTCCACCTTCCGGGGTAGAAGGGTCTTGCTCAGGCCCCCACTCCACATCGGAGCAAGGGGCCGTGTTCGCTCTAAATCCAGTCCGGTTTCTGTCCTCTCCCAGGGAAGAAGGGACTTGGTTAGGGGGAGTCCTCCCTCCTGAGAGTGGACACCTTTGTGACTGTAGTGGCTGAGCGTTTGGGTGAAATGGGGAAGACGGACATAGGAAGGAGCCTTTTGATGTTGTGGATAGTTTGAAAGCCTGGTCTGTCTCTGGGAAAGTGGGGAGGGTCCCATTGCTGTGTTTTGAAGTGCGATGACAACATGAAGGTTTCACTTGTGTGACTTGACCTTCCCACACTCAGCGCCTGGAGGCGTGGGGGCTCTTAGAATGAGAGGACTTCTCTGCCCTTTCAGGAAGCAGGCTTTCTCCCTGGTCAGACCCATTGAGAGTTCTCAGGGGTTGTCCCAATGCCTGGGGCTGAGGACTGGCTCCTCCCAAGATGGGTGGACCCGTTAGGTGGACTCCTGCCATCTCTCCAGGAGTGGTTTCAGGCTTCCTCACTTTGGGAGTGGGGTAGGTTCTTAAAATTCTTAGTATAGTTGATCTGGTTGTCCTTCCATAAATGTATCTGAGGCAGCTTTAACTGGGAGAGTTGGTGCTGTCAGAGTGATAAACATACAGCCCCATATAGGCATCCCAAGAGCTTTGGTGCAAGGTAAGCTTTTTTTTTTTTTTTGAAGAGTTGAACTCAAGACTGGGGACATAGCTGAGTTGGTAGAGTGCTTGTCTTGCATGCATAAGACCTTGGGTTCAATCCCCACTACCACACACACAAAAAAAAGTTGAATTCAAGAGTTTGGGTTTTTAAACCATAAACAAGACTGTGATCATAAATTAGTTTGTTGGATTAGGGTTTACTTGAAGTTGCTGTTCATGTATCTAAAATGTAACCTGTGTTCCAGAAGGGTCTTTTGTTTTGGTCACATGAGAATTTCAGGTGCCTTGAAGTAAAATGCTTCCATCAGATTTGTTCAGTAGATTTTTTGCAAGGATTTTGAGGGTGAGGGAGATAAAGGAAAGTTGTACTTCATCCTTGGTGTTCAGGAATTTGGCTAAAGTCACAACTTTCTAGCTGTGTACCAGGGCCACCTGCATGAGGAAGTGTCTTGAGAGCTCCTTAGAGTGGACCCAACATCAATTACAACCTTGCTCCAATAGGTACAAATCCTACTGAGCAGAGGAAAGGGGAGATTTTGAAATTCCTAGATACCTGTGAGAGTTTTGAGATCTTTGGTGAAAATGTCATCTAGTACATCTGTAGTCTCAGGCCCTTCCCAAACTCAGGAGGGCTGCTCCCCACCAGATAGCAAGATCTGAAATGTTCTGAGAAGTATTGGTGCCACAGAGGGTTGTTTCAGGTAGTAATTCTTCTGTGCTTCTTACTTTATTTCTAGATTGCAGCCAAAATTGGAGGTGATGCTGCTACAACCGTGAATAACAGCACTCCTGATTTTGGTTTTGGGGGCCAAAAGAGACAGTTGGAAGATGGAGGTAACTCTCACTGGCTGCTTTTTGTTTGGGAGGAAGGGCTGAGGGCAGAGAGGAGTGCTTCTGTTGAGTGGGTTTCCGTGGCGGGGAACACCACTGCTGTTTGGTCTTTTAAAATCTCAGCCATCTCAGCTTTGTTAATTCTTTTTGTTCCGTTTGCCATCCTGAGATATCAGGTGGCTGAGAGGAGGGCACATTGATTGTGGCTAGAGTGAAGTTGTAGGTTCCCAAGATCAATCCTCCCCTTGTGGGAGCTGGGGAAGTGAGGGGCCTGAAGTCAAGTTGAGGCATCCTAGGCATTACCACAGAAGCAGCCAGTGTTCGACTCCTGATTAACTCTTTTATCCCAAACCCTGCCCCCCGCTCCAAGAAGGATTTGGGTGCTGCTGCTGTTGTTCGCTAGTTACAAGGGCTCTTTTACTCTGGGTGCTTGTGGTGGGACTGAAAAGTGTCCCTTACACCCTATCCCACCTTAGGGCTTGCCTCTTCTTCCTGTCTCAGCCCTCATGCTAGGGCTGGGGGGTCGTTTGCCCAGGACATGTGGTATCAGCATCAGGTCTGAGGCAGCCATAGGTGGGTGGGTACTGCATCTGATATCCTCTCTTCCACAGATCAGCCGGAGAGCAAGAAGCTGGCTTCCCAGGGAGACTGTAAGTCCATGGGGTGATGTAGGCACAGGGCAGCTTCAGGGTCTTGAGGTCGGGGAAGTCAGGAAATAAAAGCACTGAGCAGGTGGCAACTTTTGTGGAGGGCTCATAATATTTACATATGGGTGACCTGTGAGTTCTAGGGATCCCATAATCCCCTGAAATTAAGGCCAAAAAATCTGCATGTGGGTTCATTCCCTGTAGAGGCCATCCCTGTTTTTGGAGGCTGGGAATGTAGCTCAGTGGTAAAGCACTTGCCTGGCCTACTCGAGGCCCTAGATTCAACCCCTAGCACCACGAAAAATAAGTTTATCAACCAGGAAGTCTTAAAAAAGAAAAGGAAAAAAAGGCAACTGTGTGTGTTTTTTTGGGGGGGGGAAGGACTATAGAGCCCATCAGGTGCAGGAGTAGACGTAGAACCACTGTGATAAGCACCAGTGGTCCCTCATGTGAGCAGGGGTACTTGGGTGTGGCCGTATGTGGGGCCTGAAGACGAGCTAAGCCAGTCTTTTCTTTGGGATTTCTCTCTGCAGCAATCAGTTCTCAACTTGGACCTATCCATCCTCCCCCAAGGTAGGTTGTGACATGGAAAACAGGTTGGTTTCTCAGTTGTCCCTGGCTGTGTGTACTGACTTGGGAGGTTTCTGTCTGGGCCTGTACTCTTCAGGGTGTTCTTTTCTGTTGCTGGTGGACCAGCAGGTGCCCAGTAGAGGGAAGGCAGGGAACTGTCCACTCCTTGTGCTCCCAGTGGAGAGGGCGATTGTAGTGGTATCTAGTGATGAAGGGCAGGCTCTGCCCCCTTGCTTCCTCCCCTGGGCTGCAGACGCTCAGAAGCATAGACTTCAGTCTTGCAGGCACTTGTTCCATTGAGCCTTAGCCAAGCCTGAGGGTCTTTGCTACATTTTTGCTACCTCAGATCAATTAGGTGATTCTGACGTAGGTCATTGGGGAAGGGCCTCAGTTTTGTAAAATACAATAAAAACTACTTGTTAGGAAAATGAAGTGAAAACAGGATATACAACCAACTTTATTATTGGAGGCGATAGACATAAAAATAAGTTGACTTGTTGTAGAAGCAACTAAGTATGTGCTCTCCCTGAGGCAGGGAGGGGATACTGAGACCTGCAGAGGTCATGTGACCTGCTGTGGGGAGAGGGATCCCTGCTGTCTGCTTAGATCTATGGCATCTTGGACCCCTGCTTGTAGGAAGTAGGGTCTGTAACAAGAAGTGCTGACGTTCCCAGAGGCAGGATCATGGCTTCAGGTTCCCAGGGCCTTTCCTCCAGAAGACTCTCAAGTCTTCCATCCTCTTTCTCCTGCTCAAGGCTGACCTTCAGTTCTCTCTTTTCAGGACTTCAATGACAGAAGAGTACAGGGTCCCAGATGGCATGGTGGGCCTAAGTGAGTGTGGGTCACTGTGGTGAGGGGTGGTGTTCTGAGCCCAGAACTCCTGGTCAGAGAGATGTCCCTTTTCTGCTCTTATTTCTCCTTCCTTCCTCCCCTGGGCAGGGAGGATGGGTTTGGAAGCTCTAGGATTGGCTGCCCACCCACTTGTTGGCAGAGGGGCCCAGTGATCAGGAACCCCCACCCAAATATGCTGAGTTCTGGGCTCCCTTAGCCAATTCCTGCTTTTCTCTTTTTTTTCCACCTAGTCATTGGCAGAGGAGGCGAACAAATTAACAAAATCCAGCAAGATTCAGGCTGCAAAGTACAGATCTCTCCAGGTATGGAGAACCAGCTTCCTGTTGGAATGGAGGCTGGGGCTGGCTTGGCCTCTGTTCTTTCTCAATCTCTCAATCCTTCTGGACCCGAGCAGTGAGCTGGGCTGACG